ATGAAACGATTTACTCCATTGTTTTCACATGACTTCGAATGCGGCCACGTATTTCGACTATGCACCAAGTACTTTTGACGGATTCAAACAAAATTGAAACCTGATTTGGTCTTTTCGATGCAAGCCACTGCACGATGTTGTGTGCACACAGCGAAAATTGAAGACAACAGAATGAAAAGGAACGAAAAACAAAATAAAATAACAAAGTGGCATTTTCAAACAGCAACAACAATAATAACGGCAGCAACGCCGTGAATTTCGAGGAAAGAGAGAGAGAGAGAGAGAGAGAGAAAGAGAGAGAAAGAAATAAAAATAGAAACGAAATACATCACGCTGCATGAGCATAATTTACAAAGCGTACAGCTAGCGAATCACAAAAGTGCACACTCACAGAGCACGGCGGTAAGAAAGCCTGCCATTCGATTATATCAGCTGGAAAAATCTAAAAATTATTCAACAAACCAAACACCAACAACAACAACCAGCCGCAGCGGAAAAAAACACTCATTTCGATTGTTAGGTGAGTATTTCAACAAAACATGACTAATTTACTCAGCCATCAGAGTTATTACACAACCTATCTGTTTATGAACGAACGGATCTAGTTGTTATTATATTCCTTTTTTTTTCTGTTGAATCGCCGAAAAAAAAATGCTTTTTTCGGGCATTCAAACAGAAAGATTGACACTTTCAAATGCACGCACAAATCATTTGTGATTTTCAGAGAACAAAAGACTTGAACAGAAAAAACATCATGTGAAAAAAAAATCGTAACAAAATTCCATCGAAAATGAATGGAGAGGAAAAAAAGAGAACAAACATGAGCAATTGTAATTCAACTTGATCCAATTTGAACGTAGTTGATACGTGTTGAATGAGAAAGAGAAAAAAAAATGCATGGGAATATATGGAAGGGAAACGTATTGAATGCGTAAAATTACCTTTTTCGTCCGATTCAAATGGAGTCATACAAATGAGATGTTGCACCGATCAATCAAATATGTTTCAATACAAGACTTCCTCGGGATTACTGTTACAAAGATAGATCTCTCACGTACGTTGGCTGATACGCTTTAAATTCGATTCCGGGCGGATCGGTATCTTTTATTAAGATATCTACCTTCTTGCTTACGAAACACAATTTAGAAAAAAAAACAACAACCAACTAAACACGCGTCTGCACTGAATTTGCAATTTAGCAAGCGATTTACTGGCGGTTTGTTATTATTGATGTATGGGATGAAACGCGAATGAGAGCGCGCGCGTCCGATCAATCGCGAAGATAGAACACACCGGAATTCGTTGATTTCTTTTTGATGATCTTTGTCTCTGTCTGTCTTTCAGGGCCTGGTCTCAATTTCCGTTTTATTGCCTTAATAAATGACTCTTCGGTGTCGATATTTCAGGTTATTTTCTTCTTACGGGGTTACGTAAAATGTTTATTTTTCTTTTCTTTGGTTCGAATGTTCCTTTCGTTCGAGCGAATGAAAAAAAAATCCGTAATCAAATTACACTCTTCGCGATCCAATAAAATAATTTTTCAATTACAGTTCTTTTTTTAATACTCGTATATTTGCTTCTTTCCGCACTTCTTTTCTGCTCGGTGAATGTTACTGAACAAGGAAAAACAAAGCAAATAACAAAAAAAATGTATAAAACTAAACATTGAGCTGCGTACTACTTTTATTTTAAAGTGTATATCGTTGTTGTTGTCTTTTTTTCTGTTCGTTTCGTTGGTTTTATTTCTCTCTGGTGTGAGCTTGTATGAATATAATGCTCCTCTCACTCTTGGCACGTACATGCATATACATATCCATCCACACATTCAAGCTCAACACAAACACTCTTGAAAATTGCTTGCATTGCGGTTACCCGATCAAGTCAGCGACGTGCAAATGCCAAAACCCATTACGAACCGTACGAAATAAAAAACACACACACACGGAATATGTAATACCGAATGGAAAAGAGAAAGAAGAGTGGCAAGCGCGCCAATTTCGATTCGCAGGTATGAAAAGATGTTGTCGTCGTCGTCGTCGTCGTCGTCGTCGTCGTTGTCGTACATCGACACAACGCTACATTTACAACAAGCGCACACGAAGAAACTACTTTCACCAACAACTCTTTGGCGTCTCTTGCTTCGTTTGCAAACTTTTTTCTTCTTTCATTATAAATCAAGAGATTTTTGGTTTTCGGTGTATGTCGTTTTTGGGCTTTGACTTTACGATGGATTTTCTGTGTGCTTCGGTTTTTGGTCTCAGGTAGAAAAAAAAACCATCGTTTTCTCGATGTTGAACGGCAAAGAGACGAAGACAGGAGAGACGCAAAGAGAGAGACAGAGAAGTGAGGGAAACAAAATCGTGTACGATTTTCTTGTGTTTCTTTTTTGGGGTTTCCTTCGCGTGGCGTCTTTTGACGACTATCTCGTTGGCTATGATGATGCCAAGCATTGGCAACAGCAACAATAGCTTCACTTTGAATTAAAGTAGGTGAATGCTGGCAGGACCAACCAGCCAAATGATTATATCCGAAGCACACGAAAAAGGACCGAACAAAACGGCCATAAAACGATTTTTTTTCTCTCTCTCTCTCTCTCTCTCTCTCTCTCTCTTAAGCTTCTTCTTCTTACTTTTCTTGTTAATTCAATAGGCCGTTGCTTTTGTTGAACACCGCACACAACCCAGCACAAATGTGCTCAAGAGTTCAAAAGATGAAAATGGTCGTGCGGAACGAATGTGGAATGGCAGAAAAAGAGAGACAGAAAGAGAGAAGAAGAAGAAAAAAAACACACAACGCAGCACCAAACGAAAATTTTGTAGAAGCAAGTAGAAGATGGACGCAACATAATGATGTCTTTTTGTCCAGCCTATGAAGCGATTTGTGTTCGGCCGAATGATTTATGGTTTCAATCAACTGGTGCACAAGAGACAAACGATCCATCTATCTCTGTCTCTATCATCTGTTTGCATCTTTCTTTCACCTTTGTATCATGATTCCGTCGTGTGGAATTTTTTTCTCTCCAAAATTTTTGGTTGAAAGTTTTTTTTTTCTTTGATGTCTGCATAAATCTGAATCATACATTTTATGTGGAATTTTACCGTTTTCATGCGAAAAGAACGTCTTCGGTTTTTTTTGGCGGCCCGTGAGAGACACAGGCATTGTTCTCGTTTAAACTAGTTTGAGCGTCGTCACACACAAGCTATACGATACGGGATGAAACAATGCTTCGTATAGACTGATTTGATTGGTTTCAATGCTATATTGATTTGCTAAATTGAAGTCGATTCATTTGAAACAACAACAAAGAAAAACTGTACATAGTTGCTCGAGACAAGAGAAGAAGAAAAAACGAGGAAGTTTGCGCGATAATACGAAAGGCAGTTTTTTTTCTCTCTTGCTTTACAAACACATTGAGTCAATCGCCTAAGGGCTGTGTGGACTTCATTCGATTACACAAACAATGTGCTAAGACGGCGTCAATTTTAACAAAACTAAAAATTTGAGCAAACCCAAGCATGAGTAAACTCAAAATGCTTCTAGCAAAAACTTAATCGTCGTCATTGCTGTCGTCATTGATTTGAAGTGTGTGTGTTTCTTTTTCTTCTCTATCTCTCATTACTTTGCTTCCACAGAACTAACTTCGCACATTTATTTTTGCTGAACTCATACTTTATATACAATTTTTGCATTGTAATTGCACTTTGTCGAAATGGGTTTTCTTGAGAAAAAAAATTCGATTTAGCCTAACTGACGGCTCTTTAATTGCAATGCAAGCAACTTTTATTTTGTCATTCACACAATTACACCAACGAAAAAAAAATTTTAATGGTGAAATAACAAACGAACGAACGAACGAACGAAAAAACAACAACAATCGCACAAAGGCAAAGTCGACAATTTCTTCGTCAAAGACTCACAATTTTTTTTTCTTTTGTTTTTTTCTTAATAATTGATGGCAAAAAGTCTATCGAATTTGATTCGTACAAACACAAAATTACTTTACAATTTTACTTTGTACAAAAAAAAGCACACACTTTTTGGTTTTTTGTGAAAAAGTTTCAACCAAAAAATATAAAATAAACCAATATATAAATATGTACGTTGTTTTTCGACTGTGAATTTTTCTCTATCTGGCAATTTGTTGATTCGTTTCGTTGATATTATTCGTACACAGCCACAAAAGAAAAATATACGCACACATACGAATTGCATCGACACAAAATGCTGTATTGACACAGCCAATGAGTAATCGTTGTATGTTGAAAACCCAAGCCAAGCTATATTATACACCAGAAGAGCGCTGTGCGATGGGAATTCTACGGAAATATACTCATACAAATGTGCGCGCGTGTAACCATTTTCACGCACACACGCACATACACATACCCATACCCAAATGCCTAATGGTGCTATGAAGCGGGAAAAGATGATACTATGCATACGCGATGGCAGTGGCAAGACAGAGACAGACAGTGGTGTTTATGATATTGCGTGTTTTGTTCGCACCACGCACACATCGACAGATACATACAGGCACACAGACAGACATACACAATCGAAGGTGATATGACAAAGATCAAAATGGATTGTAAAGAAAATACCAAGAAATACAATTCGTGTTGCTGGCATTGCGACTCCTATAATTATGTATAATTTTATATGGGAGCCAGACCACGAGAACGTCTTAACTGTGTTATTGTGAAAGGTTAGCTATAGCGTTGTCTCGCGCGCTCACTTTACACAATCGCACATATATGAACATAATTTCCTTTGGATCGCATTCTACGATGAGTATAACAACACCACACTATCCAGCAGCGCGTTGTTCAACCGATAAAAAGAAACCATGAAGCCGAAAACTTCATTTCCATCGTATGAGCCGATGTCGCTGGTGTTTTCAGCTCGTCAATTCACATGAAGTTGCAGCCCATTTGAAGTTCCATTGCTCGAATGTTTAACGTATACCAACAACAAAAAACATAATGATGATGCAAACTTACCAGTTTGTTGAATGGACTTTCGCTGCGACTCACGGTTGTTGATCGTCTTTCGATCGGGAATCTGTACGGAGAATGAAAATACATGAATTAATTTCATTTATAAAATTGAAATATGAAATTAACTCAGAGATTGAAAGAAATTGAAAAGATGCTTGTCATTGAAAACTCTTGGTAAACGTGGCCAAGCCTATTTAATAAAGCTAAATCCAGAACCATAGAGAAAAATGCTTACATCTTTGATGAAAATGCTCTTTCGTCGAAGTACATTGGCGTGACTCTGTCGAATGTGGTTCGGTCTTGGCTGTTGGTTGCTTTTTCGGTCAAGCGTGCGTCTTGGTGCTAAAAATTGCAAAGAAATTTGTGCAGTTAGTGGACAAACTCATTTATAAAACTGTAGTCAAGTGGTTATGTCAACTATAGTTAAACTTACATTGAGTTACTTTGTTCTTTCTCGATTCAAATACGGTTCGCCGCCATTTGCCACCTTTCATCACAAGTTTTTGACTAGATACGTTATGTTGCGAAGCGACGCTCAATTCATAAACCGAATTCGAGGCGTCGAAACCAACGTGGGGCTTAACAATAAGTTGCGGCTGATTTGCTGTCGTAGTGGATGGCGAAGATGCTGATAAGGTTGTTGTGGTGGATGTTGATGATACCGATATCGTTTCGATCGTTGGTTCTCTCGGATGAACGTCAACGCTAACAGTGAATGGCTGTTTTTTTGCCGTATTATCCAACCAACTGGAGCTATCATTTCCCTTGGGACTTTTTGGCTTTGGCAATTCAAATGAATTCATTAAACTACATTCTTCAGTCTTGTCTCTTTTATCATCTGATTTCCCGTGTTTGTTTTCAGTCAGATTAAATGTATCGGCTATGCTTGAAACGTGATTTGGTTTTGGTTTTGCCACCTCAAAACTGTCGTCCGACACAGTCGTACACATTTTGTCATTCTCCACATTTTCCTGCCATTCGGCGATACTACTCATATCCATTGCACTGAAGTTGCTTATTGCAGCTGCCTCTTCAACAACTTTGTCACCTGTTTTTCGCGATTGTTTGCGCCCAATCGGACTGATTGGCTCCGTAAATATTGGCTTTGGCCGACGCGTGGCAATAAACGCCGGCCGAACCAATGAATCACCCAGCCTTTCTATGTGATTCGATTTCTCCGCCTCGACCAGATTCGCTGCGGATTCGTCAGTCATCACGGTATGAATGCTGCTCATATTCAAATCGGCAAAAAATCTCTCTGGTGTTGAGGTGTTTGTGTGTCGCAACAAATGGTCGCGAATACGAATCGGCGAAACATAAAATGCCGGATTCTTTATGTTCACATCGGATACTTTTAGAGTGGGCTTCTTTGGCTCAATTGCTTTCGCTTTTGCCTTTTCCAAATGTCTTTGTCTGGAATATTCAATCAATGGATATCATTTCAATCACGTATTTGTTGTAAAGAGTTGAAAAAACCATGCCAAATTGCTTACTTTCGTATACTTTTGCTGAAGCGAAAACTGTTTTCCGAATTGATGGATTCAACGAAGGCAATTTGGTCGCTTGTAACGCTAGGATCGATATTTTCATTATCTTCTGGCACCACACTTGATATCGACATTGAAAATGACGAACTAAATGTTGAAAAAGGTGCGAAAACATAGGTAAGATAATTGTAGTTTGTTTTCAACAATTTCCCATTATATATTTGTCAAACTCATAATCAACTTACCAAGTGGCATCCGAGTCAACTTCGATACTACTGTCACGATTGAACGATGCTCTCACATTTTTTTTCAAAACTTGTTTCTCTTTCAGAACCCTAAACCCCGTGAAAGGAACGAAAAAAAAATCCATTGAAATGTAGCCTATAACCTAAGTTTTTTTCCGGTGCATGAAACCGATCAAAACGATAATTACTGTATATTACTCGTTCGAAATTGGTCGAATGAATCGAGATGATTTCCTTCGGGCAGTGTGAAATCGAGCTCCGATGCACTTGAAGTTTGGGGACTAACATGCTGTAGCACTTTTTTCCCTCTTCTTGTTCGTGTCGTTTTTGCCGGTTTGGCCTTCGGTTTCACCTTATTCTCATACTTTCGTACCATTTTTACATTTTTTCACTCTACTTTTTATATTTTTTACGAGATCTACACTATAAACTAACCACTAATGTCAAGAATGATTCGCGCTTTGCACTTTCAGTCTTTTTAGTGATGAAATTCAACTTTTGTCAATTGACTCGTTTTTTTTAAACAGCAAATGCTAGCAACAAGCTGTGATACGTTTAAAAACTCGATTTAAATTGATGTGATACACACACGCACACACATTAACCATTGGTTTTTAAATGGTGTCGCTACAATCGCTGAATTCAACTGTCATAATTGAAACAATTCTATGATTTCACGGAGACATACATTTACTTTGATGATTCTTTGTTGGAAAAGATATGGAAACAAAATTTGTTTTCTGGACAATTCTTATTTTAATTCGACTAATTCTCTCAATTTTGAAAGAAATAAAATCAACTTTGAATAATTTTTTCTGTATTATCATCATTTCAAATGGAACGGCGGCTCGTTGTTGAGTGGCGTTGCAATCGCGACCTGTCAAAATCTCTCCGACAAATTTTGTCGGATTCAATATGACGTTTCGGCTGAATATCCAAACTGTTTTGAAATTATGAAAACAAACCGATTTGATTAAGGCTAAAGAAATGTGCTTAGATGAATGTATAATAAATAAAACCAACTGACTAACCTTTTTTCTTACTTCATTCAAACTCAATGTACTAAAACAAGAACAACTCTCAAATGAAAACACATGTGATTTTCGCTACGATTTTTCACATTTATTTATAGCTTATTACGTTACCCCTTATTATCAAATGATTGACCAATGACATGAAAAGACCATTTTCATATGGGAGGAATGCACAAAATTACAATGTGCACTATTGCTTAATATAAGCCGAAAATGCTGGCCTCAATACTTTTGATTCCGATGAAATTTAGATTAAAATTTTGGACTTTATAAGAAGAAATGTGTTGTTTTTTGGTGTGGAATGGGATATGTTGAAACTGTCTATGCACCTTCTGCCATTGGAACATGCCGAAGGATCGCCCGATTTACTCTGCAAAGATAAATGTTCAGTAATTGGTGCGACACATGCACATGGATACACATCTTAATACATACATTTCAATTATAACATCAACATTGTCTCTGATGTGATCCTCACCATTGGGATGCGTTCTAGCTATTTCATCGAGAACACCCATAATTCCTTGCACCATATAATTCATGAATTCTGAAATTTTGCAAAAAGCAGAACAGAAAAAATTTATGGTTAAAAATGCCGAAGGATCATATTTCGTAGTTGAGTCACGCATGTGTGTGATGATGTTAACTGCTGGCCGAGCTTCGTTGTTTCCATCAAAGTAAAATTGGAAATGGTTTAAATCACCTTCATTATGGCGCTCGATTCTCTCTGGCACTTCTTCGGCCATTCTTGCGATTTGTTTTTAGCTTTAATTTGGAATAAGGTCCCAATGTAAAACTCAATTATTCGTTCGATTGGAAAAGTTTCGTAAAGCACATCAGCGTTGGTATTTGATCAATATCGCAGCAACAATAGCACTGAGCATCACTGTGCAAATCATCACAAATACGATAAACGTGCGCACGTGTCAATAGATATTTCTCCCTAGTATTGAATATGCTAGCATTAGATGGATGTTTTTGGATTGAACGTAATCGGATTTTTTTATTCATTAGAAATAGTTGTTTACTATAATTCACCTGAAATAACACACTCAAATACGAAAAAAAAACTCTTCTTTTTTACCTCTATTTCGTTTAAAATTTACTTTGCGATGTGTACGAAACAAGTGCTTCAACCACCAATTGAACTCTGAATGGGATGCTTAACGAATGCACAAATACAATAAGATTTGATCCGATACGATACAGTAACGTTCAGCAATAATACATAATGACAGGTTTCAATTGTGTCGCTGCAATCGTAATTGGTGAATTCAACTGTCACATTGAACCGATTGTTTGGAATCACATTCAATATAATATATTTATATATATTTATATTTTTTATATTTTTATATTTTATTTATTTATTTATATTTGAAAGACTATAAAATAAATAATCATTTTTTGAGTAAATTTCTTAACATCACTGATTTCTCTTATTTCGTTGGGAATTTTATTCAATAATCTGGGTCCACTTATTGCTAATGAGTTTTTATGGAAATTATTTGCTGGTTTTTATATCTATTAGTTGTACACCTCATTGTTTCGTTTTTTTGGATTTTCGATGGATTTTCTATAAAAAAAATTGTAAACAATAATTATTTACATAAATGTAAGCACTCTGACACTATTGGTTATTTTACCTTTTGCTTTTGGAATGTAATCTTCGAAAAATTGCCCTTGTAGTCCGAAGTATCTACCTTCCACAGAGTGGCATCGAATACCCTTTGTCTTAGGCATTCTTCAAATGATTAGCATATGTCATGCTCTTTTGGTTCGAGATCCGAAGTCCACCAAAATATATCAAATCGTTTGATCTTCGAACAAATGCTCAAAAAATGGACGATGGCATCAATTGCCTCATTATCTTGCCAGTAATATTCAATTGCAAGTGTTTTCAGATATTTCAGACCAGAAATAAAATTGGCAAATTTATCATCGTTCAGATGAAAATGTTTGATCTTTGCACTGATAGTCAGTGCATAGACTGTGGCATTTTTTTTCACAAACTCCATGATGCCATCAAAACCATCAAAATTATTCAAAATCTTTAAATGTAGTTGAGTCATTTGATTTGATCGCACTGGAATTGTCATTAACGATTCACTTTCATAAGCAACAACTTTCAAACGTGTCAAGGAATCGATACTAATGAATTCGCTATCACCACGCCATCCGTATTGACGCGATATCAATTGGAGTCTTCGTAAATTCGGTAATTTCCGTTTGATGAAAACCAACAATGACTTATTAAAATTGATAGCATTGGCTAGGCCAAACGCATCGGATATGCGCAAACTTTCCAATTGAGGGTTCAAGTGCAGCGCAATTCCCAAACTTGTGCATGTGAGAAAACCTGTGCTGAAATTTTTTTGATTTTGAATGACCAGCCGCGTCAATTGCGGGAAGTGATGCTCAATGCATTCTGGATTGGTAAAATTTGTGTCACCAAACTCTAGCGAACGCAGTTTTGGGAACCATTTATTGAATTTTATTGGATTTACACCTAATTGTTCCCCACAGATTTTCAATGTTTCAACATTCGGGAATGGTTGCGATATGTTGGACAGAAAGTCACCGTCTATGCTCGTCACTTTGATTGACACCAATGATTCACGGCAATACGTTTGAATTGCGTCACCAAACAGTTTTCCAGCTTCAATACCTTCTTTACGTACAATGACATTCAATTCCTTTATATAACTGCCAAAATGACGTAGCAACTTTACATAAAACTGAAATTCGTTGTTGATATCATTCAACGATCGATCTGTGTGATTGATATTAATCGATGGTCCATTTATGTGTAAAAACATCTCTTGTACAGCCCATGCAAATTGTATGAATTTGGATTTGGTCAGATGTTCGGTGTTGTCTTCACTATTTTCCAATTCGTTCACATTGCTTTCGGTGATATTATATGCTTCGGCCAAACTCACAATATCACATATATTTAAATAACGTCGCAATTCGCGTAAGCACTGGATATTCAGATCAAGTAGTGTTGGTTGTACGATGGTCATTTTGTAGTAAAAAACTGCAATTTATTCCAGCAAAATCGAAAGAGATGAGTAAAACATGTTGAAGATTCATTTATACTGCACGTGAAAGGTACTTACGTCAAATACTATCTCTAAATTCTCAATAAACAATAGTTGCATAAAGTCAGCAGGCCCAATGTTTTTTTCTTCAGTTTTTTAAACGACTTTTCTTTCGATTTTTGTTTTGTTTTTCAACTGATCTCTCCAATTTGTTGCAAACTGTACCTTGTATTTGCTTGCACTATATTCATACACTAACATGTGTATAAACACTTTTGAAACAATGTTTACAGTAACATTAGAGGGTGCACTGTGTATAGTTTTTCATTCTGGCCACATTTTTGTGGACAATTTCTTCGTCAAAGACTCGATATTTTATTTTCCTTTTGCTTTTTTTCTTATTAATTGATGGCAAAAAGTCTATCGAATTTGATTTGTACAAACACAAAATTACTTTACAATTTTACTTTTTACACAAAAAAGCACACACTTTTTGGTTTTTTGTGAAAAAGTTTCAACCAAAAAATATAAAATAAACCAGTATATAAATATGTACGTTGTTTTTCGATTGTGAATTCGTTTCGTCGATATTATTCGTACACAGCCACACAAGAAAAATATACGCACACACACACCAACCATTTTCACGCACACATACACGCACCCAAATGCCTAATGGTGCTACGAAGCGGGAAAATACGGGACTATGCATACGCGATGGCAGTAGCAAGACGGAGACAGACAGTGGTGTTTGTGATATTGTGTGTTTTTCTTTTGCACTAATAGTCAGTGTAGTGACTGTAGCATTGTCTTTTACATACTCCATGATGCCATAAAAATCTTCGAATATAGTTATTTGATTTGATCGCACTGGAATGTTTAGTAACGATGCACTATCCCAAGCAACAACATTCAAACGTGTCAAGGAATCGATACTAATGAATTGGCTATCACCATACAATTGACCGTATTGACGCGATATGAACTGGAGACTTCGTAAATTCGGTAATTTCCGTTTGATGAAAACCAACAATGGCTTATTCAAATTGATAGCATAGCCATAGCGGCCAAACGCATCGGATATTCGCAAACTTTTCAATTGAGGAGTTCAAGTGCAGCGCAATTCCCAAAATTGTGCATGTGAGAAAGCCAGTATAGTGTACTACTGAAACCATACTCTCAAATACAAGCACGGTCGATATTTTTTTGAATTATTCTAATTTAAATCGATTTATTTTTTATGATATACTATTAAAAAACAAGTTTGTTGCTTGATATCAATTGAAATTTTTATTCCAATTTTGGGTACGAACAACTCGATAGAAGATCTATTTTATTTTGGTCATTTGAATCAGGTGGACTGTCAAAAGTTCAATAGTTATTTAAATGGTGTTGGTCCATTTCTCGTCGAATGCCAAATTAAAACGAACTCATTCAGTTGAATTACTCTTTGTTTCTTCATTTAACTCAATTTCATTGGTAAGCTACCAAAAAAAGAGAAACATACATGTTTAAATCACATGTGATTTATGCCTGCCTTTAGATTATTCATTTATGACTCACGAATTATTACACATGTGTTTTACAATACTAAAATTATGAAAGGAATACAAAAGCTACGTATAAAGCGGAAATGATACGAATTTGAAATGTTCACGATTAACTAAAATAAATTGCTGAAGTTGACCGGTAACCAGTTCCAAGTACTTCTTTTACTTTTGTTTAAATGGCGGTTTCCCATTGTTTTAACCGTTACGGTTTTCTCAAGTTCATTTACAACCGCTTCATATTCTTTAACTCTTTTCTTAAGTGTATCCATTCCTCTTTGTAATACAATGCTCAGCACACAAGGTTGCTGCAACAGCAATATACGACAGGCGATCCTGGTGGCACCGATTGTAATGTGTTGAAAAATACATTGTAACACACAGGATTTTACTATCGGTGCCACAAGGTGTCGCTAGTGGTAATGCTCTTGCAGCAACGGTGTGGCTCAGTATAATTTGTAACATTGTAGGTTTTTATACATTTAACTATTATACTTTTCCTGTATTATAATACGGCATCGTTTACGATGACTACTGTCCACACTAAGTCTGTCAGCGTCTTTACATTTATTTGGTATCTGTACCGTCTTCAATGGCTCAGTCATCGGCTTAGGTTTTAATTCTCTCAATCTTATTTCCTGCGATCGAAAAAAAATGAAAGGAGAAGAAAATTTTTGTATTTTTCGTCTTTTTCAATGATTGATCAAACACAACATTAATATGAACTCAAAACAAAACATTGAAATACTAAATATATTCACAGAAATTGTAGATTCTGAAGATTTTCGATATATAAAATGGTTTTTTTTTAATGGTTTCATGCCAATCAAGCTGAATAATTCTAATAAATCAACTTACGGTGTTCTTCCGTTTGGTATGCATGCGAATATGTCTTCTGAAGCGATTGCCGCGGTTGAACTTTTCATTGAATTCAGAGCATTCGAGGTGCTTTTCGCCAGTGTGAATTTTAGAATGCCGTGACAATTCAACTGATCGCTTGAAAAGTTTGGCAAATGACATTTGTTGTAGCGTCTGTTGTGAATCCGCTGCATCGGCTACAGATTGAATGTCGTTAGTATTCGGTACTGATTGCACAAGCGCATCCGAAGCAGTGCCAACTGTAAGATAAAAGTCGTCATTGAGTGAATAACACTCAATAAAAGTTGTATAAAAACTATATTACCTTCATTTGAATCAACTGATTGAGATTTCGCTTCTGGATTTAATGCAGCCGACTGTAGGTTCAGTGGTGGTTGTACTATGACAACATTTTGTTGCTGAACACTTTCTACTTGGGCTGTTTGTAATCCAGGAATACATTGTACTGCAGGAACATAGTTGAAGAAAATCAAAAGAAAATTTTAAAAAAATTACATTTTCGAACGTTTTAAGTAAAATGTAAAAAAAAAGTTTTACTCTGCAATTGATTTATGGGTGACGTTTGAACTGGTTGAATCTGACCGTTTGTAGTGATGAAATTGGCCACCTGTTTGATAATTGAACATCCATAATCGAGAGAAAGCAATGAAACTTTTAGTAAATTCGAAGAAGATTGTTTTTTTTTATAGACAGGCATATACATGATTCTTCAACAAAGGAATGTTTGAATATACCTGTGCCTGTTGTGAGAATATTTGCATCTGTGGTTGAACCAAGCCTGGTATTTGGTCAGCCAATACCTGAAAGGGAATGTGAAATGTTTCTAGAATGGTTTGACCATTTCCAATTATAATTGGCACTTGCACCGGGACTGTTTCTTGCATCGCAGGAATTTGAAAAACTGGTGGCATTACTCCAACTGGCACAAAGGGTACATTTTGACCTAATTGCATTAAAACATAAATTCTCTTAATCCCACTGAAGAATAAAATGACTGAACCATTTGGTTCTTTTAAAATGGTCAAAAAGAGTTTATTACCTGATCCATCCCCTACAACTATGATATTTTGCTGATTTGTCGCATTAATTTGGCCGTTAGATGATGATGGATTCTGAATATTCGTGTCAGTTATCGTGATGGTTTGCTGCTGTTGATTGACCTGCGTTTTTTCTTGTGTTTCATTTTGCTGTTGGTCACTTTGATACAACTCCGCTTGTTGCCAAGAGCTTAGCCAGGATTTCTTCTATGTATGGAATGAAAGAAAATGAGTTGAGAAATGAGGACATATTTTGAAATTTTCAGAGTTATTCCGTTTTTTTTTTTCAATAACATTAACTTTAAAAAAACGATGAAAATTATGTTGATGAGGGAAAAAGTAATTTTCTCGGGCGAATGGAACGAGTTGGATTAAAAAAAATGTAAATAATTAAAATCTTGCAATGGCATAAAAATCCATTTTTCAGATTTCTACGTGTGGCTATTTTGTGTTACCAATTTCATTGTATGTTGATTTTCTGCATTTTCATTGGCCGTTGTTCGATTTGCCTTTTGGTTCTGGTCAAATTGTTGCTGTTGTTGAGTTTGGTCGATTTGATCGTCCGCTGTGTTAGTTACACTCTGCTTAGTGGGACTTTCAAAACAACTGGCATCCACTGGAATCTCCAAAGTTCCTGCATCAAACGCTGTTTGTGGCCACCATTTGTTCGTTTCATCTTTTTTACATTTCATTTTGAATGCAATATGATTTTTTTGGTGAAATGTGTTATGTGCCCACCCGAAAAAAACAGAGAAGAATAAATTTGGTAAAAAAGGGTGCCGTAGATGGAGTAGCACTAACTCACAAACAAATGATTGTTTCAGAATATTGCTTTTTCAATGTTTTTTTACTCCAATGCTATAAATGACTTTGTGAAGAAAAAAAAACATCGTGCGTAAAATCCCATTTATGAGCCAAAATACAAACAGAAGAATAATTTGAAACAAAAATATATCAATAGCAGTCTACGGTTACTCTACCTGCATTGTGTAGGCCAAACTGTCATAAAAACAAAAGTAAAAAAATTCCCTGTTTGGATCATCTCGAGAGAAGTTTCCATATATCTTAATCAGTTGCCAGACTTGTTATACCGAGAAAAATATGTAAATTCTACGATATATTATGCCGAGAAAAGCGTGTAGAGAAAAGCATCCCGGAATGATGCTGCAATACATAGAACTACGTAATGCCAAAAACTGCGACAATACGAAGTTGTATAATACAAGGTATAACCAATTTCGTCGTAGGCTGTTATGTAGGCGACAATGAGCGGAATAAACGTACTAAACAGAAATACATATACATATGTAATAATATTTTAAAGTTTTAGAGACTACACGGGGAAATTTTTTTATTGTAATTTTTACATAATATTTCGTTTAGTTAGCGTTCTATGTAAATGTATATTGAGCTTATGCTGATTGTTCTTTTTTGGGATTCTTCCGCTCACTGGGTACTCTATATAGAGTGAATGAAACTTACCGGTTGGTAGAGAAACGATTTGTCCCATGTCATGTAGGATATTCGCTGGCATCACGCCAGATTGAATATTTTGGGCGTTGGGCATTAGAATTGGTTGCACGCCGTTCAATTGATTTGTGGAACCTATATGTGGTATGAATAACGGCTCTTGTCCACCCACCAAGACCGTTTGCATTGGCTGCATAAGTTGAAACATTTCGCTGGCAAAACCTATGGCTATAATTTCAAGAAATGAAAAATAAAATCGGGAATCACAAAATGCCAGCACACATTTCTACACAAACGGGGGAAACATTTTAATTTGCGTCATTTAACTTTAAATTTTTCATTTTTTTTTCAAACATTTTTCATCAATTTTTTATGTTTTTTCAAGAAATGTGAACTAAAAACTTACATCAGAAATAATACTCTTTTCACGCTATTGGTTATTTGTGTGATAAAATACAAATTAAGCCTATTTTTCTGTTTTGTGAATACTGTTCAGACTGATTCTGAACATAGAATGTTATGAACAGTATGTGAAACGTTCAAAAGCAAGATTTGAATAGATACGTAGTGAGTATCACACTTTACATGAAACACAGAACTAATTGTTCGTCAATGGGATGTCGCTACAATCGCTGAATTCAACCGTCACAATTTGAAACAAATGTTGCTCTCACTTTCACTTCGATGAGTAATATATAAGATTATTTATGAAAAAAATATCTCAAAGGAAAATCGGTTTAAATTGGTCATCAATTCGAAATAAAATCAGCTTTATACTGTTTAATCATTTTGAAATTTAAATAAAGATGCGCCTTGAGTGGCGCTGTATACAGCTGTCAAAACCATTCCGACAAATGTGACGTTTTGTTTAAATGCCCATGCTGCTTTTGAAATAATGAAAACAAATAGAGACGAAGTGAACTTGCGTTGAAAAGAAATATAAAGTTTTACCGTGAAAAAAAAGCTTAAAAACACTTAAATTGAATGAAAATATTAGCTACATCTTCAGATCAATTATGTTGCATTTTAAAAATGCGCTTCTTCTAAGGAATGTGCTTCGAACAGTGCCGGTCTGTTGTGTTTAACCTTCTTTACAGGACCTTATCAACTTTGCTATATTGTAATGAACTATTATACTTGAACTATTTCGGCTTTAGGTTCGACGTTGGTCTACATTTCCCGTTCATTTAGATGACAAAATAAACCAGGCATTGGAGAATGAGCAATATAAACCCAAAGCACATCCGGGGAAAACACGCCTGACACCCATCGAACTTCCTGAACGAATTCGAAAAGCGATACGAAACGCTGTAAATGGTATGAGAGATTCCATTTTTCGCGTCTTCTGAAACTGATTCTAAATCAAATTTTCATCTAATTCAAATCTTCTCGAACACTATGACTTCATTTCAGATAAAGAAATTTCCAACTTAATCGAGGAGGGTATGCAGTTGGATCGTTATTTATTTGCCCGCAAAATACCACTCGAACAAAAAGAAGTTTATTTGGCAAAAAAAGATATTGAAAAGGAGATTCTACGAAGAGAAGGAGTTCGACATGTGTCTGAGCTGGGTATGCGCTCGTTACTTTCTATTCAATCAGATTGGCTTCTTACACATTCTGACCTAATTCATTTTCATGATCTAAACCAACGGAAGATGGAGTTGATAATTCCCGTGCAAAAGAGGGGCTAAAACAAGAAGTGGCAAGCACTTTCCATCGGAAGAATTACAACTGGAAACCGATGGTGTACAGTGAACACACGGCATGGACGTATGTATTTGGTCGTGCGGCCAAGGAATATGCAGCGATCGTGCATGTCTTCAGCGAAATTGCAAAACGCGATCCAAATTTTGAGCCACGGAGTTTCTTTGATTTCGGTGCTGGCATTGGGACGGGCACTTGGGCAGCGTCTGACATTTGGAAGAAATCATTGTACGAATACTTTTTGGTCGATGAATGTGGTGATATGAATGATTTGTCTGAGATGATACTACGCGATGGCAATGAGAGTAAAAATATGACATTGAAAAATGTGTTTTATCGACAGTTTTTACCCGCTTCAGATGAGGTTATTTCGATATTCATCAGAAATTTTTTCGTTTTGCAGAAATTATCATAAAATTCTCATGATTTCAGTTCAAATCGCATTTAATATTGAGTGCATTCACATTGAATGAGTTACCCGATCTTAAATCAAGACTCGATACGCTACTAACCCTTTGGAAAAAATGCGATGGTTACATGGTGCTAATTGAGAATGGATCTAACGCAGGATTTAAACTGATTGAAGAGGCCCGAGATTTTCTAATTCAACAAGCTCAGAGTGAGAGATCCGCTTACCTTTTTGCACCGGTTGGTTGATTTACCCTTTTTCATCAAATATTCATCCATTTTAATTATTCTTATGACTTTCTCATTGAAATAGTGCCCGCATGAATCATCGTGCCCAAGAGTGGTGAAAGATGATGGAACGCCATGCAATTTCGTTGCCAACTATCGTTCAATGGACATCGGCCAAAACAAACAAGATAACAAAGTTCTGTTTAGCTACGTAGTTTTCAAAAAAGGGTCACGTGATGATGATAAAACGATCAATTGGCCGCGAATGGTACGACCCACGCAAGTGAGAACGCGACACACACGATGCAAATTGTGTACACATCGTGGCAAACTAGAGGAACTAGTTGTGACAAAGGCCAAACATTCGAAGTATTCTCATGTTCATTCACGAAAGACACACTTTTTTTCAACTTCAGACGGATTGATTTACAATTTATTTCTTCTTTTCAATCACTAGATTTACTTACCGTTGTGCCCGAAAAAGTGATTGGGGTGATCGAATGCCTATTGAATTTGTGGAGAACGAATGTGATTCGAAAAACACATCTGATTTTAGTGATGGTGAAAAACAGTAGATAAGAAGCACATAAAAATAAAGAAAAATCGTTGACAAATTTTAATTATTCTTCACTTTATTGATCGCTTTGCTTGGTTTTAGTTTGCTTTTTTCTAATTCGTAACAATTTGCGTTCAAAATCGCGGGAAATGGCTTCACTTCGGAGCCGCAAGATTCATTTGTAACGTTTTGATGGTGAGATCGCTTCGAGCGTATGCCCACAATGTCCGACCAACGATCGCTTCCTCTCTTTGTTTCAATTTTGGGGTGTCCATCGCATTTGGATATCCATATTTACCGGGAAAATGGTCTTTCAATGTCTGTTTGATCACCTCGTCCGCCTGGCTGCGAATCTTCTTCCAGCTGTCAATCTGTTGGTTCCACTGTTTGTCCATGACTCTATCAATGCGGTTGACTGTGACGAGCAAGTGTCAAATTGGAGAACTTTTCTCAAACGAATCTCAACTGAAAATGATTCTGCAGTCATCAGTGTTCATCGAATCGGTTCGCAAACTGCTGCACATTGTTTATTTGACACATTGTATAAACAGTGACCGTATTGAGTTCAAAACCAAAATCGCCAACATAACAAAAATTCCACTACATGCTCTTGCCAACAGCAACGCATCGCTGGAAAATGTTTACACAGGAACTGCGACAAACAATAAATGAGGCGAGCTCAACTAAGGGGACTTTATATCTTTCGGTTTAACCGTAATAATTGTTGAAAAAAAACAATTATTGCTAATTCATTGGAATTATGACTGGATCACGATACAGTGCGATATGACATCAATTTTCAACGTATCGGATTTCATTCGTTAGCCTCAACCAAAACTAAAATTGCACTTCAAATCAAGAAACATGTTTTTCTAACCAAGAGATGGATAAAATGCTGTAGTGCGATTTTTCATCCACCGTCCACACGTGTACTCATTCTAGTGATTAGAATATTTGATGCAGTATTATCGAACATTCATTCAAATATTCATAAGGTGAACAGTATCCCGTTATCAGTTCAACCATGACAGCAAGGTTTCATCAACGCGGTAGCCAAATTAAGCATTGAGCCTTATTGATTATCCTTGAATTTCTAGTGTTCTTCAATGGAAAAAGCATTATCATTTCAAGTTTCTCGGAATCAAATTCGAGTAGAGAATCGATATGAACAATCTTTCGACTGGATTCGACAACGTTTGAACGTGTAGAGTAAAAAAAAACCATTTAAATAACGTTTTTCATATTCAATTTACAAGCAATAATTGGTTAAAATGTTGCGAATTGTTTACTTCCACGGAAATTGTTTAGTAATCGAATTTTTGAAATATAAAACCAAATCCCATTAAAAACATACAACAAACTGCCATTTGTTTTGAATACTGTTCAGTCGTACAGAATGAAAAGTAGATCAAAAATGCGAAATGTGAAACACAAAAGAAACGAAGAAAAGCCAAAAATATCCAGCAAACGAAATTGAAAACATAAACAGTTGCACACAAATTCAGCATCAAATGAAGGTGCTCAACTTATTCCGTCAACATCACATGAAAAAACACACATGAGCTACGTTATACACACGTACGTAGAGACTCAACAAACGAACGAGACCAGCACATGGTTGCAATGGGCTAGAGCGAGACAAATCATGGTGACCTTTTCACATCACCAACAAACATTGGTAATGTAAACGAAACGTACGATGACGACGAACACACGACAGCGAGCGAATGAAAGAGAAAAAAAACACTAACACAGCGTTCTGTCCAATGACAGTCGAACAAATAATCGGAGCGTTTGCATACTGTACGACAAACCATTGAAATTTTCTTCTTGCAAACACACATATTCGATAATAATTCAGTGTTTTTCATTTATACAATTGTTGAAACAATTTCATTTTCAGACAATTTATCATCAGAAGCGAAACAACACAGCAAAGACATCGCAAAATTTCCGATTGAACATTTGGTGTAAAGTTTTTTTTTCTCTTCTGTTTGCTCGCGACAATAGAACAAAAGGTGAAAATAGTACACTTGATAGTTTTTTTTATTGTTGTCAACTTTAATTGAGCTCAATTAACGGAATCGAAAAACGATAAACGATTCGAAGATTTAGTGAATTTTTCGCATTTCTAATATCAAGCAATCGGATGTGAATCAGTTTCGTAAAGGGATACAAAATCATCGTAAAATTGATTTTTCGTTCGGTTTTTTTCATCGTGAAGCAAACGAGAGACAGAGAAAAATCCATTGTTTTGGGGCGGATTTGATCTAAATTTCATCAGTTCTTAAGAAAAATATAGAAACAAAAGCAGTTTGTGCAAAACAAAATGGATCCATTGCCTGTAACATTAATTGTCAAAGCACCGAATCAACAATTCGAAGATCAAACCATAAAATGTGAACCAACTTGGTCGATTCGAAAACTCAAAGGTTATCTATCCGAAGTGTACCCATGTAATCCGGTAAGTAAACATAGAGAAATCGTGATTTCACCTCGAAATTGTCGGTCGCACAGTACCAATTATCAGAATCATTAGAGAATTACGTGTACCAATACCGCTAGATCGAAAAGCATAACGAAAGCTATGTGCAAAACGACAGACACAGAAAAAATAGCGCTTGTCTTTTATCAATTTTTGGGTGTAGTTAAGTGATATATTGATGTGAGTGTTCTATCTCGGTGTGACTTATTAAGATACGGGCTGTCGAACAACAGACGTGTGCGAGAGAATGAGAAGAGAGAAATATGAAAAAAAAACACGACATATTATTTCATTTAGCAATCGTTTTGATGATGATGATTATTTTTACTTCAAACAGTCGCGAAATTGCGTCGCAAAAATAGTACATATTCATACAAGTGTTGGTCTCTATTTTCTATTGTGGCTGTTGCTGCAAAGCAAGCCTGAACAATTAAATATATTCACACTGAATTTTGCCGATAGACATGTTGAAAAGCCACGTATTTCGATTTTTTTCTCTCTACATGATGCAACTCTACCGCTGATATGACATTTCAACCCAATGAATGATTTATAAGCTACAGTTCGAATGGTGTTTCTGTACAAGACATACAATTCCACGAACGTATTCCGTATTCTAGTGAATTCTAGTTATCAATTTGTCAAAGCGTTGTGAACGATTTGTGAGTTGAATTTTTGCCAGAAATAAATTATTTTTACCCGTGTTTGTGAAATTTAAATTCTGTTTCATTGGCCGTTCAGCGTTAAAATATCGCTTTTCGATCGTTTTCACTGGCTTTTATTACACAATTTCGTTATAAATTGACGCTAAGCGCTGTATCACAGCTGATCAAATAATTATAAAAATATTGTACTTCTCGTGCAAATGGAAAATTTTTAACGATGACGAATTGATGGATTATCACACCGCTTTTGAACCGACAAAAGGATAAAATTGATGTTTTTTCTCAGCATATAAATTGAAAACAAACATATGGTCAAATAAAGATGTTTTTTTTTTGCTCCTATTCGTATGTGAATCTCAATTTCGGTTTGCTCTAATTAAATTACCGGCTAAAACCACAGCCAGATGTAAATATGACACACATATACATTGCACGGCTTTCTCTGTGGAGAAGGTCACGTGTGGTACGATTTAGGGGCATTTATTTGAATTTTCAAACAAAGAAATTATAAAGCATATACACTCTCACACGACATTTTCCACCGGTCACATGCTATCTCACTAATTATAGTAATTATCTCTATGAGCACATGATATAACGATGATAGTTTTCACCGTGATACTTTATTTGTTTTCGTTTTTCCCATTTTTTTATTTGCAGACATTGGACGAACAGAAACTGATTTATTCCGGGCAATTGTTGAACGATGCGCACATTTTGAAAGATGTTTTACGGCAATATGAGGGTCAAGATACGCACACCGTGCACTTAGTCTATACACCAAAAAATCGTCACATGGCATCGACGACATCGTTCAAATCATCACAGTCAACGCGCAAAGATGCAACGGATAGTAGTCAACAGGCAAGACAACAGACATCATCACAATCATCACAACAAAGCCAACAGTCGGAAGCGACATTCGGTGCAGACGGCTTAAGGTAAAAATAGAACATTTGCCGATTTTATTGGTTTTTAAATTCAATGACAATTCTGATCAACATGTTGAATCAACATTGTTGATTGAATGACACTTTTCTAATACTTGTTAAAATACCACTAATCCATCTCCATTTCAATTGTTCAAATTTAGACATCGAAATGCAAGTGCCGGATCGAATGCAAACACGAGTCAAATGCCATCGCCACCGCCGTTCATGACTGGATACTTGAATATGCCGCAGCCATTTATGCCGGGAATGGCATTCGCCCAACCGAATGCCAACCAACCGCAACCACAGTACACGCCCGAACAGTATGCACTGGCCCAGCAAATGGCCATGCAAAATATGATGCATCAAATGTATTTGCAGTACATGAATCAGTATGCGGCTACGATGCAACAGCAACAACAATCGAGTACTGCACCAAATGTTCCGTTTATCCCATCAAATTATTTCCCACAACCGAATTTCGGTATGTCACAACAGTTTAGTGCAGTCACGACAAGCGCGCCCACTTTGAGTGGTGAACAGCAGCAAGCTGTTCAGCCTCAGCAAGACGCACCGCCAGTGCCACCAGCGCCAAGATTTCAACCGGTTGCCGCCGATGATGAGGCCGAAAATCGTGATTGGCTGGAAATTTTGTACACACTAAGTCGATTACTGGTGCTACTATCGTTGGTTTACTTTTATTCATCACCGGGAAGATGCTCAATTGTGATAATTGTTATTGTTTTATATTATTTGTAAGTATAACCCGAACATCCCATCAATTTCTCTCCTAACCAAAGTTTTCATTTCAATTACAGTTATCAAAACCACCAAAGAAATCTTCGTGAACGGCAACAATTGGAACGTTTGCAGGGAGCAGCCGTTGAAGCAGATGTAATCGACGCACCATCCGATGATAACGAACAGCAAAATGCAAACGATGGTGAAAATAACCAGAGAAATGAAGCCGAATCAACACCATTAATCAATCAAGAAACTGAAAGTTCAACAACAACACCATCATCGCCTAGCGCCGAACAAGATGAAAATACCCGATTGCCAACATTAACATTAGTTCGCACATTTATCTTGTCATTCTTTTCGTCACTTATACCTGAAACACCAGCGGTTTAATGGCTCTGCTTCATTCGACGAAACACCTAGAAAAATGGAAGTTAGAGATATTATTGTTCAATAAAAATGAGACACACTTTTAACCAATTCAATTGAATTTACAAACGAAAAATACAAACAAAACTTGTAACATTTTTGCATCCTAATTGTTCACGAGACTAAACCGTTCATCGCCGGCGTTTATCATAGCGAAACAGAAGGCATCTGTGCAAATTTATATAGGAAAAAAAGAATTTAAATTTAATGAAGAATTCATAGAACAACTTTAACAAATGAATTTCATTGGAGATGGTGGCGTCACATGGAAACAAGCACACAGACGCATGATATATATATATATATATCAATGAACTATAGGTTAAGGTCTACTGTTTAATGAATAAAACACGTATTTTGCCAACCTCTTCACTCCAAAATTATTTACCGCAAAATGAAAAACGTTCGACAGCAAATAAAAATTGTACCTATTGTAATTAATTAATTTATTATGAATTTTGTCCCCCCCCCCTTCGCTTTAGAATCAAAAGGTGCCACTAAATTTTCAATTTGAGGTGTTAAAATGACTTTATTATTTTTTACACTATTATTTGCAATTATACACTTGAAAACATACTAATACAATTAGGAACCGAATATTACTTTTTTGGAGTTGGTGAAATCACCCAAAACTTCAAACGTGATTAATATTTCCAGAGTTATTCGAATTTTTTTTCTTTCGTTTATTTATAATAATCTAAATGTGTACTATTGCCCAGAAATTAAATAAATTTGCAGAATAAAAATGAAATCCGCGTTGTTTTGAATTGTTTCTTAATGAAGACATCAACTTTGTCTAAAGAAAAGTGCGTCGAAAGGATGCAGATGAGGTACAGTAATGATGAACTTGACTACCCATTTAAAGAAGTAAAAGTGGACGTCAAATCAATTTGTAAATTTGAAATTGATACAGTATATCTAGAATAATGAGACGTCAAATGCTTAACTGATCTTAATGGTCGATTGAAAAAAATCAACATATTTGGTTGACGACCGCAGCTATGTATTTGACGACTGCAGCTACAGATTGGCATTTGCCAGAGTTACTAACTGAAATAAGCATGTATGTTATGTCAACCGATGGTAAACATTGTACTTGTTTGAACATTTTTTCATTTACAAACATTTTCAATAGATCCTCTTGCAATTGATAGTAATTTCTGAAGTTCCATTCGAATCAAACAATGATGACAAAAAAATATCAAAAAGTTCGGTTTTTCCAGACCAATTTGTCGATTGTAAAAAATCCAGTTGGAAGTCAATTCAAATATTTGATTTACAATTGATTCAATTAATCTGATTAAAAAAGTCAACGTTCATGATTTCAAATCAAATTCCGAGTTCGACTTCTATACAATCTAATGTAGTCTATGCTGTAAAATCGGAAAATTTACAGTTTGTCTGAACGAAGCGAAACTCTAAATATCTCAAGACGTGTGAAATATTCCAAATTTCCATTGGAAAATTTTTGAACTTCGTTTATTGTGAGAGTAAACAATTACTTAAAAATATATTTTTCGAAACAGGAAAAATTTCCTAATCGTCAACTGTACTGTGTTGCAATCATTACATTTCTAATCGAATTGAAAAGATTACAAAGTTGTGAATAGAGTGTTGACGCCAGACATATTGATAACAATGCGTAAAAAAATTCCCGAAAAAATTCCTTGGTCACGTTCATAGATCGGAACACTATGATAGAGTGGAGATGAGACTCGTTTATTGTTTGTTCGAAAACATCGCAAAATAGAAAGCCACTTCTCCTTTTCGTTAATTTAATCGCACTGATAAGGAACTCGTCTATATACAATCAAGGCACAAATACACAGCACTAAAAATGAGAGCGAATCAAATACATTGCCTCAAAATAAATGACTACTCAATTTTATTTTTTTCCAAACATATCACTTTGGATTGAAGAAGCGAGTTGTCTGTTTACGTACAGCTTATAAGTAATCTCAGTGTACTTTTCATTTTATTTGCCATTCTATCGTCGATGAGTTTCATTTAATTGTTTAACCGTTAGAATTGTTTGACACAGAAAAAGTAGCACGGAATCAGGTAGGAGACAAATATGTTGCGTATTCCGCAAAAGATTCAGCTCCATGGCATTCGATATAAGCACGTTAGTAGGTTTTAGTGATTTGTTGATTGATAGGCAGAGATTTTTGCGAGATTTTGGATTTATGTCAAGAATTCTTTTTAATGAATGTGATTCAAAAGACATTTTATTAAAATATTCTAATTTCAATATTCACATACAATGACGACAGAGTGGAAAAGTGATAGCGATTCGACGAGAGGATCAATCGGTATGTAGTGCATTTTCGATATAGAGAATGGAAAATATAACAGTAATTGAAATAAAATCGCATTAAAATAGGTTTGGGAACGAAGAGCTCCATTTGCTCCACATCATGTGAAAAGGCTGGTTAAAAAAGGTGTCTCGGTTCTAGTGCAACCTTCAAATCGTCGTGCCTATCCAATGCAGGTATGAAATCGGTGCAAAAATATTTTCAATTCACTCACTTAATCATCGAAAAAATGTCAATATGAATCAATAGATGAATAGGTTGTCAAGAAAAAGGTTAATAATATTTTGTTGGCTATAGGCAACAGTGACTATGGAAAGAGTAAATGGCCTCTCATGCCAATGTAATCTAATCATCAAGAAATAATCATTTAAGTTGTTTGTTGATTGTTATTCGCAATTAGCAAGGAATCTAAATCGAATTTTCAATCCGTCACGTTCGCGAATCATCATCAGGTGGTTCAATGTTTCGGAGAATTTCAAATTCAAGTGTCCGTGTTGAGAATGTAATGTCGTTTAACTTTTTGGCCATATTTTCCACGTTCCTAATTTCCATTGCCAATCGCCAATCACACCAGTAACAAACGAACCGTGATTGTTAACAAAGAGTACGTACACGTTTTATTTTATGAAATCCACTCAATGAACAAATCACTCAACTGATATTTTGCTGTTCATAAAAGAGTGATGCTGTGAAAAAGTCGGTCTTTTCTAAGAAAAAACTTCTTTTCTTCGCAAAAAAAACACTCTTCTTCTTGAAACTGTTTTCGAAAACTGGGCGAATTACTTGTCATTATTCTGAAATCACTTTTTTCTTGTGCAAAAATTGGTTTTTCTTGCAAAAACCATCCTGAATACAATTTGGTCTATTCAGAACATTTTTTCTATACAAAAAACCGCACCGAGACAACAAACTACGTCGTTTCAAAAATGCGTTGTTCATTTTCCAGTTTGTGTATTGTCGCTTTGAATGCATGATTCCTAATTGTAATGTGGATTTCGGATAGAATGCTGCGTAATTTTGCACCTATTTCCCTAACGTGTATGATTCGAATGAGAAAGTTGAATCAATAAATCGAAAACCGTACGGCGGCTGCGATATTCGAATTACACCATGTCCAATCAACTGCTATCGCATTAAATTACGCCTAAAATTTTCCGTTCATTGCATCAAATTCGATTCCCTTTTTTTTAAATTTTCACATGAAAATCCCATAACGCACCCATTAAACCATGATGAGTCAGCCACACATTGACATGAAAAGTAAATCTGTTTTCGATCTGACTCGTATACAATGCAAATATGTGCGGACAAAATGAAACCAAAACGAGAAATCATAAATAACTCTTTATCAGAATCAGCAGACAGTTTTGGTTTGAAAGAATTATGCAAGCGATAGCCATATATAAATAATCTTGTTTATTTTCGGCGTGAGAGTGATGAAAAAACTGATTATTCCAGAGCATTCCATAATACCAAAGAGGAGGAGAATGTGTATTTCGGTCGTGCTTGATGCTCTGAAATTTTCGGTGCAAATTATATTACACACAATTTGCAAGGGGCCATAGATTTTCAGTGTCACTAACACTCTAGCAGTCGACACATTTCAGACAGGTAGCGTTGTTTGCAGAGCGTTCGCCGGTCACGTACGCTCAATGTAAGTGAATGTGGAAAAATTCCACTGTTTCGATGAAGATTTCAAGCGTGAACAACATATGGTTCTCATTATATCCCATACAAATAAGATTCACCTATGAAACTATTGTCAATTGATGCAAAAATACGGAAAAAAAGTTTTACATCATCAGTTAGATTTAAGATCGCCAATGACATTTATCTAGACTTGAATCAATTTTGAACAAAAAGTTTTTATTCATTATTACCTTTATTTTATTAGCTATGGATTCATGTTAAGAATCATTTTGTTTGACACACTTTAAATCAAATGAAAACAATTTTTTTTTGTTTTATTTCAAAAATGACTCGAATTCGCCATCTGCTGCATATTTTTGCAATCAATTCATTCACAATAACAGTGTGGCCATATAACATTGTCTGACAACTTCATCATGAATCTTTCTATCGTTGTGTGAATAGAATTGGCATTGTATCGATTCACATCAGATGAAAAAAAATCAATATAATATAACTTCGTATTACATTACTACATATTTTTTATCTAAAATTGTTTAAATTATGAAGTTTATGAAATAAAATCGTAAAATGTCGACTGCATGTTGGGAATTATTGTACTCTATCATCGAAAATGACATAAAGTGCCAAGCAGATATTATAATTGCAATCGCTCATTGGATTTTGGTAGATCGAGCCAATTTGAGATGTCTAGGTTTAGGAGAAGAGGTAACTATTTTTATATTAAATGACAGTGAAAAATATCACAATACAATTTATTTTTATCTATTAGAAAACATTACGAGCAAATGAAGTGTCCAACGGTAACGTAAAGCTGCCAAACAATTGGAATGAAGACAGTTTCGACTATTCACTAAGATATGTGCTTGATGGAAAAGTGTATGTATTACATGGCACGGTACCTGTTGATAGATCGAAGGTTACATTGTCTTTTGCGGTAAGTGAGTTATATGATTTGGTTGTCAGTGAATGATTTGGACCATGATGATGATTAACCTTCCCTCACATTTGTTTCATATTCCAGACAGCTGAAGAAGAACCGGTTGTATTGGACGTTGATCTGAATCATGTACGTCAATTAAGAGGAAGTTTGCCGACTTTAATTCCGGATCGGAAGACTGTTTTTAGCATCTTACGTGGTTTTCACTCAATCGTACCTGCACAGAATCGCCGTACAGATGTTAGGTATGGAAAAAAGGGTTAAATCAACAATTTCATCTTAATAATGGTCCAAATTTTCGTTTTTACTCGTAATTTTAACACGTTTAGTCTTTCTTAAGTGGATTCTATCGCAAATTGTAAAACAATTCTAGCATTTTTCATAGTTAATTATGAATATTGACTAGTAACCGCTCACATTAACCCAAGCTTATTCTTTTATTAGAAATGAGGTCACACATCACTCTCGCGATATTTTTTTAGGTTAGCTAATTTCGGAATAAACTTTACATTCGATCCGAGCAATTCGTGCTAAAACTCCCTTTGCGAACAATTTCAACAAACTTTATTTATGGATCGATTTTTTTTATTTGATTTTTGTTTTAATCAGTATTTTAAAAACTACTTTTAATTTCTAGTGGAAGCTCCAGTGCGAACTCGTTGAGTTGGGAATATGAAATCTGAATGAAATTTATGCCTAATAAATGGCAAATTCCATCAATCAATCAAACACTTGCTTTCGCTATTTTGTATTATTTTTAGTGAAAAAAAAACAATTTTTCCAATTATAAAGCATTGTAGTTTGTACAAATATATGAGGTATCTCACCTCTAATAATTCAGGGGATAATATTTTATTGTAAGAAGATGAAAAATCATAAATTGAAATATTTGCCAGTGAAAATCCACTAAAATCATGTTCTTTTTTAGTCTTCGCACAATAATTTTTGCTTAAGTTTTTTAAAAATTGAAATTCTCTTAATAAATCGCAATGAATACAATTTGTAAAATGAAACGACTTTTAATTATTGATTATTGGATTGTTTAAAATACATAAAAGTCAACGTAAAACATACAATGAAAATGTTATCTTAAATTTTTAACAGCCAATAAATGTACTTCATTTTTTCTTGTTTGTGGGTGTATAAATGCTTAATGGTTTTGAGTTTTGTTTCTCTTATGAAAGTAAAATTGGTTGATTAATGAAAAAATTTGGGATTGGTTTTGTATTTATCTAAACTGCAATGGTGATATTCTCAATCCGACTACATCTTTGCCAATTTCGGCGACTTCGCATACATTACACAATGTTCCTTTGAATGTTGGTTGATACGATGCACCGCACAATGGACACTTCTCTTCCGGTTCACCTTTGTAAATCGGTTTAAATGTGTTGGCGCACAAACTAAATGGATTATGTTCATCATATTCGAGTGTGTGTTCGTCTGTGATGTTCAACTCACATGCTTCTAGAATTTTGCGAGCTTGTTGCGCCACTTCTGGTCTTGGCCCGAGCTCAAGTAATCGTCGGGTAAATGGTGCGGCCGTTTTAAAGTTCTTTAATTTGAAAAACATATTCAATGCTGTTCGCAATTTTAAAATTTGATGAACTGACTGTAAGTTACAGTGTGAGAAATATGCATCCATTTCACAGTGACGCTTCTTATCGTCGAGCGTTGCGTTTGGCAAACCTTCACGTTTCCATTTTAATTCCAACCACGTACTCACGAGAGATGTTCAATAGTTGTTTGGCTTCGGCAATTTCTTTATGATTTTCAACCAAAAGTAATGGAATTGAAATTGTTGAATCAGATCGTTAAGTTTTACATAAATTGTTGGATGTGCTTTTTCAATGTTTGCTTCCTTTCAGTTGCGGTCTGGATATCCAAACAATGGATCCAAACTGGGCAGGGTGGAGTATGATGTGCGTGCACCGATGAAGACTTGCATGAAAAGTTCTTTGAATAGCCCAAATTGTACAACACCGACTTGATCATTGACCAAACGGAATTCAAGTGAGCCGGCACGTAAGTGATCAGCAACCAAGTTTGTATTATTTGCCCTGTATTGTGTATAATCGGTGCGTAATATCCTTCAACATAACAACGCCAATTGATGAATGAATACAGAATTAATATCACCGCAGGAATGTCTTATGCAATATTTACCATCTGAAATTGCGGCAAATGGAATTTTTTTGTACCATCCCATATTTTTGATTCGTTACATTTCGAATACCAAATGTTTGATAGTATGTTATTAAAAAACGACAAAATTTGGATTTATTCGCAAGGTCCATGAATAAATGAAATGAAACAAAGTTCAATCTTAGTTCTTAGTTTCATTTCACTTACCAAATGATCTGAAAATGCCACTCATTTTCATTCTATTTGTAATTGCAAGTACACACATTTCTAACTCGTTGGTGGCCGCCAGTGCGTACATGTGAGAGAGTGATGTGTGTGTGTGTGTGTGTGTATGTGTGTGTGTGAGGAGCGGAAGGCGGTAATGACGGGCGATAGATGAAAGTAACACCATCTAGTGCAATCTGACGGTAATACTGTAAAAATTAAGCCATCAGTGGAGGTGCTTGCAGCGCTCACAACGATTTTGGTAGCTTCCCATTTAAAATACATTATGAGAGTTCCTGGAACTGTCTTTTTTATACTACTCCATTCGAATCAAACAATGATGACAAAAAATTATCAAAAAGTTCGGTTTTTCCAGACCAATTTGTCGATTGTAAAAAATCTAGTTGGAAGTCAATTCAAATATTGGATTTACAATTCAAATCAAATTCCGAGTTCGACTTCTATACAATCTAATGTAGTCTATGCTGTAGAATCGGAAAATTCAGAGTTTGTTTGAACGAAGCGAAACTCTAAATATCTCAAGACGTGTGAAATATTCCAAATTTTCATTGGACTGATTGAACATTTTTGAACTTCGTTTATTGTGACAGTAAACAATTACTTACAAATATATTTTTCGAAACAGGAAAAATTTCCTAATCGTCAACTGTACTGTGTTGCAATCATTACATTTCTAATCGAATTGAAAAGATTACAAAGTTGTGAATAGAGTGTTGACGCCAGACATATTGATAACAATGCGTAAAAAAATTCCCGAAAAAATTCCTTGGTCACGTTCATAGATCGGAACACTATGATAGAGTGGAGATGAGACTCGTTTGTTGTTTGTTCGAAAACATCGCAAAATAGAAAGCCACTTCTCCTTCTCGTTAATTTAATCGCACTGATAAGGAACTCGTCTATACACAATCAAGGCACAAATGCACAGCACTAAAAATAAGAGCGAATCAAATACATACATTGCCTCAAAATAAATGACTACTCAATTTTATTTTTTTCCAAACTTATCACTTTGGATTGAAGAAGCGAGTTGTCTGTTTACGTACAGCTTATAAGTAATCTCAGTGTACTTTTCATTTCATTTGCCATTCTATCGCCGATGAGTTTCAGTTAATTGTTTAACCGTTAGAATTGTTTGACACAGAAAAAGTAGCACGGAATCAGAGAGGAGACAAATATGTTGCGTATTCCGCAAAGGATTCAGCTCCATGGCATTCGATATAAGCACGTAAGAAGGTTTTAGTGATTTGTTGATTGATAGGCAGAGATTTTTGCGAGATTTTGGATTAATATCAAAAATTCTTTTTAACGAATGTGATTCAAAAGACATTTTATTTAAATATTCTAATTTCAATATTCACATACAATGACGACAGAGTGGAAAAGTGATAGCGATTCGACGAGAGGATCAATCGGTATGTAGTGCATTTTCGATATCGAGAATGGAAAAGATAACAGTAATTGAAATAAAATCGCATTAAAATAGGTTTGGGAACGAAGAGCTCCATTTGCGCCACATCATGTGAAAAGGCTGGTTAAAAAAGGTGTCTCGGTTCTAGTGCAACCTTCAAATCGTCGTGCCTATCCAATGCAGGTATGAAATCGGTGCAAAAATATTTTCAATTCACCCACTTAATCATCGAAAAAATGTCAGTATGAATCAATAGATGAACGTGTAAATTTTTTGTTTCCAATATTGTAAACACAGTAGTGGATTGTGGGCAGCCTCCCATTAAATTAAATTGGCCTCAAAACTAGCTTCCCTTTCGCCGAATTATAAGAATCAGCCAAAATGAAAAAATATTTTTCACAAACATGAACGATAAAATGTGCTTCTGTTGTCTAGTACAACAGATATGATTCATGCAAAATCACTACAGTCACCCATCGCAAACGATCACTCATGTATTGGTGTGCTGTCGCTTAGTTCGTCTTTCTTGTTAGAGTGATATATCTATATATGAACGTAACAGCTAGCTGCCGCGCTTCTAGATTTTTCATTTTGGCTGATTCTTATAATTCGCAAGGCGACGAATTCACAAAGAAAAGTATATTAGCATTGCGGATTCCATATATATTCGGGGAGTGAGTTGCTCAGTAATAATAATACCATTATAGAACTTAGTTCTACGTCGTGACATTGACTGCTGAAAAGTCGTAATAGACTATTCTTACAGTATAGGACGCACACAATTCGGCGAATGCGTTCGAAAGAACTGGAGTGCTTTGAATCAATAGATCAATGGTTGTCAAGAGAGATGTTAATAATATTTTGTTGGCTATAGGCAACAGTGACTATGGAAAGAGTAAATGGCCTCTCATGCCAATGTAATCTAATCATCAAGAAATAATCATTTAAGTTGTTTGTTGATTGTTATTCGCAATTAGCATGGAATCCAATCCGTCACGTTCGCGAATCATCATCAGGTGGTTCAATGTTTCGGAGAATTTCAAATTCAAGTGTCCGTGTTGAGAATGTAATGTCGTTTAACTTTTTGGCCATATTTTCCACGTTCCTAATTTCCATTGCCAATCGCCAATCCCATCAGTAGCAAACGAACCGTGATTATTAACAAAGAGTATGTACACGTTTTATTTTATGAAATCCACTCAATGAATAAATCACTCAACTGATATTTTGCTGTGATAACGCTTTGTTATCACTTTCAAATTAATTTTTTGTTTTTGTTATTCAACATGAATTCGTTTGTTGAAACAGCAGTGCAAAAATGGCTGCTGTTTACATCTTGTAATGGCACAATTTAATCGAAAATATAATTTAAAAAAAGTAACAAAAACGATGATAAGACGACGTCATATTGAACCATAAACAAAGGCTTGCCAACAAAAACAGCCAATCTGAAATTTGAGTTTTGTGCTTTTTTTCGTTTCATATCTATTCAAGTCGTATTTGGAAGCCGGTGCGATGATACGAGAAGATATAAGTGATGCAAGCGTCATATTTGGGGTGAAACAAGTGCCAATCGATGCACTCATACCGGAAAAGACCTATTGCTTCTTTTCGCACACAATCAAAGCGCAGGAATCAAATATGCCACTTTTGGATGCAATTCTAGAGAAGAATATTCGACTCATCGACTATGAGCGAATCATTGATGAATCGGGCCAACGGCAAGTTGCGTTCGGGAGATATGCAGGCGTTGCTGGGATGATCAATATTTTGCATGGATTGGGACTTAGATTACTAGCACTTGGTCATCACACTCCGTTCACACACATAGGCCCGCCACATAACTACCGCAATTCGTCAATGGCTCGTCAAGCTGTACGAGACTGTGGCTATGAAATCGCTTTGGGTTTAATGCCGAGATCCATTGGCCCACTAACATTCATATTCACTGGGTCAGGAAATGTTTCGCAGGGTGCAAAAGAAGTATTCCAAGATTTACCCATTGAATACGTTGCACCGGAGACTCTTCGCAAAGTATCCGAACATGGAAGTATGCGTTAGGTTTATTTTATATTTAATTATTTTCAATTGTTCATGCATTGATTACATCTTTGCATTATGGTTGATTTTGATTTGTGGCTTATTCATCAGGTCAAAGCAAAGTGTACGGTTGCGAAGTGAGTCGAGCGGATCATTTGGAACGTCGTGAAGGCGGTGGTTTTGATCCACAAGAATACATAGAATTTCCGGAGCGTTATATTTCAACATTTTCAACGAAAATTGCTCCTTATGCTTCGGTCGTAGTCAATGGAATTTACTGGGCAGTTGGGAGTCCAAAATTACTAACCATTCCCGATGCAAAAACTCTATTGCGACCAGCAAACACACCTTGGTTACCATACAGCCTAGGAGCCCCACCATTGCCACACCGAATGTTGGCTATTTGCGATATCTCAGCTGATCCGGGCGGTTCAATTGAATTCATGAACGAATGCACAAACATCGATACACCGTTCTGTTTGTACGATGCCGATCGTAACAAGGACACAAAAAGCTTCGCTGGTCCTGGTGTACTTGTTTGCTCGATTGGTAAGTGAAAGGAAGTAAAACTCGAATAAAATGCTCCATAAATTCATATTCAATCAAAAAAAACAAAGAAACATATCCAAATACTCAAACCATTCTCTCTTAATCATCAGACAATATGCCGACGCAGCTTCCATTAGAATCGACTGATTTATTCGGTGACCTTCTATTGCCCCATACTGTGGATATTCTACAAAGTGACGCCAGAAAACCACTTGAAAGCCATAAATTCAGTTTCCCAGTTCATTCGGTAATTTAAATTTTATTATTAAAATGTGTCGCACAGAAGAGAAAAAGAGGTGAAACTTTAATTGCGCCTAATGTCTCTTTTTAACCAAAATGATCATATGATTTTATTAAAATGGGATCTGATGATTCTTATCTTACGATGTTGTTTTTTTCTTACAGAGTATCGTTGCAAGCAACGGTAAATTGACTGAGAATTTCGAATACATCGCTGAGCTTCGAGAGTCGTCCATGTAAGTGTTCACAAAATGTTCTATATTTATAATTTTATTGATCAAATATGTGCGCATTTTCATTAGACCAAGTCGTGAACAACTATCTTTAATTTATTTATTCATTTTTTCCAGTCGCAATCGTAACGAGAGTTCGTTGGATGGTCGTAAGCAGGTGCTTGTATTGGGTGCGGGTATGGTGTGTGCACCAATGCTTGAATATCTATATCGGGATGAAAAACTATCGATCAATGTTTGTTCACAATTCAAAGATGAAGCCGATCGGATTGCCAATAAATTTCCAGGAATCCGAAGTACTTATTTAAATGTTACCGAAAATCCAAATCATTTAGCCGAACTGTGTAGCAATAGCGATGTAGTTGTTTCGCTTTTGCCATACGCACTGCATGGACTCGTTGCGGAGAAATGTATTGATGTGAAAACACACATGGTAACGGCAAGCTATATCACAGATCATGTTCGATCATTGCATCAAGCGGCTAAAGATGCCGGAGTAACTCTGTTGAATGAAGTTGGTTTGGATCCGGGTATTGATCATTTCTTGGCTTTGGAAGAGATTAAAAATATCCACGAAAGAGGCGGTTTTATTGAATCATTCATTAGTTATTGCGGTGGCCTACCAGCGCCAGAGCATTCAAATAACCCACTTCGATACAAATTCTCGTGGTCGCCAAGAGGAGTGTTGGCTAACACACTGTCACCAGCTAAATACTTGAGCCGTGGTCAGATTGTTGAAATCTTGGGCGGTGGTGATTTAATGTCAGCACCAAAAGATTTGAAATTCTTGCCTGGTTTCGCTTTAGAAGGTTTTCCAAATAGAGACTCCACCAAATACGGTGAATTATATGGGCTGGGACCGAATGTAAGCACTTTATTGCGTGGAACAATTCGCTATAAAGGCTTCTCGGAATGCATTCAAGCCATTCAAACATTGGGTCTAATCGACACCGAACCACATCCAATGCTTCATCCAAAAGGACCGGAAATCACATGGGTACATTTGAATTATGGAATTGATTCATATAAAATCAAACGAACTCTTTATAATTCTGTTTATCTCATTTTTTTAAACAGCGGCAACTCATCGTTAATATGCTCGGATTGACCGATTCGACCATTTTCTATGAAAATTTGAAACAACGTTTGGCCGAACGTATTCCACAACATGGCGAATTCATTGAACGGCTCGGTTTATTGGACGAAACGCCAGTTGTAAAATTAAATACACCAATCGACACATTGAGCGATTATCTGTCGAAACGATTGGCATTCGGTGAGTTGTTTGTATGCTTTTGCCCATTTATAGAATGTGATAATTGAAAGTTTTAATTTGAAAACCCATAAAATATTCCCACATTAAATGATGTCTTACTATGACTTATGACGCTAACTTCAATTGTATAGATGATAACGAACGTGATTTAGTAATTCTACGTCATGAGTTCATCGTACGTTGGCCGGATAATACGCGTGAAGAGAAGGGTATTGACTTTGTGGTCTACGGTACACCAGCTGCACAGGGAGGAGACTCAGCTATGGCACTAACCGTTGGTTATCCAGCAGCGATCGCAACAAAGATGATCCTCGATGGTGAAATTCAAGAGCGTGGAGTTGTATTACCATTTGCACCCGATGTCTTCATGCCAATGCTGAGCCGTTTGCGTGCCGAAGGATTCAGTTCGAGTCATTCATCCCGAATGATCAACTGAAATTGATATATATTTAAAAAAAAAAGAAAATTTCATTTCCACTTTATCTCATAAATGCCCAAATGTCAAAAGATTTCTGCCATTTTAAACGTAATTTATTTCCATTTCACAATTAAAGATTAACCCTCTAATGCATAGAACCGTCTCTAGACGGGCAACATTTGAATGCCTGTAGAACGTAAACCGTACATCGGATCACATTGCTTCAAAGGGAATTTTTATTCGTCAATGTTTTCTATTCATTTTTGTCGTTAGCAATATTTGTGTATGTAGTGTGATTGTGAAGTTATTAACAAAAATGTGTGCAAAAACAAAAGTTTGACAAAATAAATTATTTGGTTTCCAAATTAGACAAATTTTTGACACTTTTAAACAATGGATTTGATTCCAGGATTATGAATATTTTTTTTTAATTATCTATGGCCAAAAATCATCCAAGTATCAGTACTCCCAGCCCTGGGAAAAATTAATGCATTAGAGGGTTAAATGGAGCAATAAATGGTCGCTTTGCTTTACTGTATTTTCTATAATTACACTGAGATTTCAATGGAAGTCCGATGATGAATGAGAACGATAGCGAGCGACAGAAAAAAAATGTCGTCGCGTGTTGAGTAGCAGAAAATGGAAGCAATTAGTATCGGTTGAACTTGACACTAAGGAATACTATAAATTTCAATCAATAATTGCTAGTTGTTTTTGTATTATTTTTTTTCGCTTTGTTTATTAGAATTTCAAATATCATTACGTGTTTTTGTTTCTGATCGCATTAGATCCAATTTTAGGCAGATTTTCAAAGCGGAACCATCAAAAATTCGTATGACGAGTACGAAACAGATAGATTCACACGCATTCTCACGATAACGGTTGCACTGATAACAGCGTTCACACTGAAATTGAGCTACACAACAAGCGCTTCTGTCGACATATACACACTAAGTGACTGAACAACATGGAATAATTAATCAGCTGGTCGTCTGTGTGTGTCCCGATCGCTCGCCTTTTCTTCTTGCCCTATGCTGTGCCATTCGTCATAGTTTGTGCTCAAACAAAAATGTGTGTGATTCGTACAAAAAAACATATTTATCATCAAGAGCGATTGAATTAACGGCGAAACGCAACAATATGATTGTATGAGTACAATAAATTGTCGTCGTCGTCGTAGTTGTTGTTGTTGATAGATTGATACGACCATTCTCTCTCTCTCCCTCTCACTCGCCTGGCAATTCCATACCACATATGGAATGTTTCGGAAATGTTTCGTCACTTTGAAATACACAGTGGTCGAGCGAACCACGGTGCAAGTGCAAACGTACTGATACAACTGGAGTACAGAACAGAAAACAGAAACAATATTTTGTGTAGTAGTTCGTTTGTGACCGCAGAACTCGGAGCAGTTGTTAATATTTTACTGTGCAAAACGTGTGATAGTGCCCATGATTTTTAACGGATATTGATTCGATTTGGAAAATGTACGACTGAAATGGAGTGTGTGTTGCAAGTTGTTTTCTCTTCTGAATTAAAAAAAATCACCTAATCCTTCAAATCAATAGCTTTTTCTATACACTTGATACTTTTCTGCAACTCCATTTCCGTCGTTTGCAATTGAAACAATCAAGTAGTTCTTTTTCTGTTGCTGCTCACACGAAAATCAAATCGACTACGATTCAGCACTGTGTAGTGAATGTGTTTGATATTTCGTGCATTGCATTTTTTTAAAATGTCGAAAACAACTTATTTACGTGATGAACATCGAAGGGGCTTTGATAATTATAAGGTAGAATCCAATCTAACCATCAATAATAATTCATTTGCTTTGGCTTGAGTTTAAATCATGCGAAAAAAAAAGATTTTTCAAGTTAAAGATAATTACATTGTTACTAATCATCGAATGTGCTACAACTTTATCACTTTACAAAAATAAACTGGCCGGTGAAGTAGTTTGTTTGTTTCAAATCGTCCGACATGCAACAAAAGTATAAATGACCATACAAAATCTCTATTGAATATCTGTGACAAAAGTTCAGCGAATAATCAACAACAGCAAACAAATAGTTCATTTCAATGAAGCGAAACTGGACAAATTACTTCTGCGGTTGACGCGCGAGCGCTCTATCACTATGTTGAATATTTTATGTTTATAGGGCGCAGACACAAGTTGTATTTTTTTTTGAAAACACATGTGCTCCGTATCGACACAAGTCATACGATTAAAATAGAGACAAGGAGAGAGAGAGAGAGAGAAGGGGGGAAAACGATAGACTACATTTAAAAAATTCATTCAACACGAAACATCATTGTGTCGTCATAAGGTCAAAGTTTTTCCTATATATTCGCTTCTTTCTTAATACTGTACTTATGTGCCAACGAACGTTATCGACGAATATTTTGCCGGTAGTAGGTTTGGAAGTATGAATGACGACGACGACGAAGACGAATATGTACATTTCATTCGAACAAAGTGAGTTGAACGTGAAGAATTTTCCATATTTAGAACGATATTCGCTTGTTTAGAATATCGATCGTTTATTTGTTTTGTTGTTGTTCGTAATTGCGCTCATACTCATAAATCCGGAATTTCAACCATGATTTTATCGACCGGCTAATTTCATGCATCAATATGCGAATTTGATTCTCTTTCTCTCTTGCCCGCTCTCTATCTCCACCACGACTAGATTTTTACGAGTCTACAGTGGCACCAGCTATTAAATGTAATCAAAACTCAATTACAGCAGCACACAAATAATTGATGAAAACGTGTAAAGCAAAATATGAAGAAAACAAAAGCAACGAATATGCGATAAAGAGCGCTGAACAGAAAAGTGTCCGTATTCCGTATACAATAAGCCATACGCTATTTAACATGGATATTTGTGTCAAATCACAACTGTGCATTATGGAGCAGATAACATTTATTTAACTTGGTGGTGTGATTGACTTTTGCCTGGCATTTTTTTCTTTTTCAAAACATAATAATCAATTTCATTGCACATTTCAATTGGGTTTTCCTTTATTTTCTTACAGTACAGCTGTGTGGACACCAGTTTCCTTAGCCGAAATATTATGCACCCATTTTGGAATTATTTGGTTCAAGTATGAAATGTCTTCAACTATATTTTCCTAGTGGGCATCGAAAGCTATTAATTTGTTTTTCCATTTTCTTTTCTGTCTTTTCTCCTTTTGTTATTTTTTTTATTTCCTTTTTGAAGTTCTTTCCACGATGGGTGGCTCCAAATTTGATAACCTTCACTGGATTTCTTTTGACCATTGTGAACTTTCTATTGATTGGATACTATGATTTTAATTTCAATGCTGCTAATGACCACAGCAAAAGTGTTATACCTGACTGGGTTTGGATTGTCGCATCGATTAATATATTTGTTGCGTACACTTTGGGTATGTTTTCCGTAATGTTCGATTCAACGTCGTCCATCTGATGGAAACCCATTTCAATTGCAGATGGTATCGATGGTAAGCAAGCTCGTCGAACCGGTACGAGTGGACCTTTGGGGGAATTATTCGATCATGGTGTCGATTCATATTCCGCAGCACTGATCCCAATCTATATGTTTAGCATATTTGGAACAGATCAAATCTCACCGCTGCGTATGCATTTCATCATATGGAATGTGTTCCTCAACTTTTATCTGACACATTTCGAAAAATACAATACTGGAGTGTTGTATCTACCCTGGGCGTACGATTTCACCATGTGGGTAGGAAATTGCTTCTTCTATCTTTCTGGCCAATTAATTTCGCTTTAATTTCTGAGTGGATATTGATGTTATCACCGGGTTTATCTAGGGCGTAACCATTGTTCTGATGATCACCGGCATTTTTGGAATTGAAATGTGGAGATTTACACTGCCAGGTGGATATACGCCAGCCTTTGCTTTCGAGATGACTTTATACATTAGCGGTTTAATATCAAGCCATCCGTTTATCATCTATCGCATTATCGTGTAAGTAGCAAGTAGTGTAATAAAAGTCAAAGGAAATCGTACATCACCATCAGAAAAATAACTAATATTTTTCATTTGAAGCTGCGAGTATAATAACATGGAATAATGTTAATTGCATTTGAGATGGAAATCTAATGAATTCGCCTTTTGCAGGTCATATACAAAACGAACGGGCAAAATGAGACCGTTCATTGAAGCGGTTCGACCATTGTTTCCCTTTGTCTTATTGTTTATCATCACCACCATATGGGTGATATTTTCAAGAAACAACATTTTGTCAAGGGAACCGCGAATACTCTTTCTCCTCTTTGGAACCATCTTTTCCAATATTAGTGTAAGTCATCATCGCTTTCATTTTGTTCACATAAAAATTAACCAAAAATTCTTCATGATTTCCCAATTTTCATTTAGTGCCGCCTTATTGTCGCTCAGGTACGTAAATGTGGTTTAAATGTCAGCTTTTCATTACAATATTCCTTTGTCGACTATTTTTTAAATTTAAATTGTATTATTGATTTAAATATTGATTAAAAAATAATATTGATTTTATTATTATTCATATTTGAAAAAAAAAGATGTCTGATACACGAGCCGATGGATTCAATCATTTGATATGCCTGGTCATAATAGTTTTTGGATTATCAGTTGCACCACTCGACAAATTCGATGCCAACATTACAATCGATCCAGACATCGAGAAAACTCTTGTGTACTGTTTAGCTGCTATCGCAACTCTAATGCATTTTCATTTTGGTTATGGGGTGGTAAGTTGAAATAGTTCCCCATTTAGTTTATTTCATCTTCAATAACATCCATCCAAATTTAAATGAATTATCATGGATAAATTTCATCTTAATTTGAACATTTCGTGCTAATTAAATCACATCGTTTCATTCTTTCCAGGTCCGCGAGATGTGCGATCACTTCAAGATCCGATGCTTCAAAGTAAGAACAAGAACAGATGGCAAAGAAACGCATGACAAACTCAACTAACAAGCATGTTTACGTTTAAGTGCATGAAAAAAAAAATTGATATCGAAACCAGTATATATGTATACATATTTATATATATTTAAAGTGTGAAATACATTTAGGCATTAAGTTGTGTCTTATTGTTTCTTAAATTAAGTGATTATTATTTATTTCTAAAAATAGCTGACAAACTTAAGGGGCAAATTGATTGCATAACAAAATTTGAACACTGTAAATCTTGATTCAATTTTATAGATCTAAACGTTGTGACGACAATACCTTCACTCATCTCGATAAAAAAAAATGTGATTTTGTTCGTGTAAAAAGTGTCAAGTTTGTAAAAAAAATGGTTTGCATGAGATCATATGAACAAAATATTACTGGGCAACTTTGTGATCAATTTACTCATTTGTTAAACGATACCGTTTTCTTTGATTTCCACTTACAGATTCCACCACAGCCACCGCAATCAATTAGTATCTAAGTCAATGTGTAATTTAATGAATGAAACTATACCAAAATGTAATGAATAAATTCGAATCCTGATTTTATTTCATCCATTTTTGTCCCAATATTTACGCAAGTATTTCGTCGCAATATTGCTGACGTTATTTTAATATATAAGTTGAGGTTGAATTTGGAGGTCACTTCAATTTTGTGCTTTCATTGTTTTTTTTTCTCAATTTTCAAACAAAAGAAAATGTGGAAAGTCAAACTTCTATGCGTTTTCAATCAAAATTTAGATTAGAACGATATATAGGCAAACTCACCAATTTGATCAGAGAGTTTAATCATTGGATTTTCCACCCGATCTACAACCTCCATAACCACCATTTCCACCGAAAATTGATTTTGCAGAAGTGGTTCTACTGACATTGGACGTTCGGGTCGTCGTAGCCCACCAAATCGAAATGGTAGATCTTATCGATATGGTGGGCCTCAACGAAATGGTCGGAGTCAATGCGGTAGACAAAGTCGATTCAGATGAACCACGAGAGCTCCAAAAGGAGCTTCGACCACTCGAAGAAGCACCAGACGTAATTCACAGTCAAGACAACGTACAAACCGTCAACAGAGAACACAAAGACAACGACAACAGCCTTCTTACGATGACGCTGAAGATGTAGCAGATGAATAGAGCAATTATTTACCAAATTTTTTTTGCCAATTTTCTCTTCATTTTCATGTACACAAATTAATTACAACAGAATTTACAAAGTGACATTCTTATAAATGTTGAATTCTATCTGTTCAGCAGGCTCCCTTTCTTAATCAGATCTTCTTCTTTGACTAAATCTATGCCCAGCAGACATACGAGAGCCGCTGCTTGTTCGGCAAACCGTTTGTTCTTCTCCCAATACGAGCTTGCGTATTTTTTGCCTTGAAATGTAATCACCGTTTGGAATAGGGAATCTTCTTGATTTGTCTCATATGTGGGAATATTCAGTCCGTTTTTATGCGCATATGTGTGTAGAATCACTTTTGGCATATCTTTTTCGGTATAATGAGCCCGGAAGTAAGCGATACTTCTAGTGTAAATATCTGGATCGTTTGAAACTTTTATTCGTTTTGGACAGGGGCTATCCGTTCCGTCTTCATTTCTCCGTAAAACTGTGTCTGGAACACACGACCGACGACAATGCATACCCTTTTCCTCGTACTCTCTTTGTGTCTTTCGGCAATAATCTCCCAAATCCCATATATCACTGTAATTGATTGTAAATTCTTTATTTGGGCACATCTTTATCATTATATACACATGGCGACGATGTGCATAGGAAATCGAAAAAGGTAATTACCAAATTTCATTTAAAGTCTGACATTCCAAAAATTTCTTGCCTCTCGGCGTTTCTTGCAATTCGCGCAGCATCATTTGCACACAGTATTTGGTTATGTTTGGCGAGCTATCAAAATCGATGCACAGCTTCAAGTATTCGGTTATGACTTCGTCCAATGGCAGTTTCCCTGAAGCGTTAGCGGAGAATGACGTTTTTAAAATTGATTCACATACAACAATAAATAAGGAAGTTACAATTTATATGATTGAAATGAATTTTCCATGCAGCCTTACCTTCTTTTCGAAACACAGACACGTTCCATTCAGCTGCTCGTGCTATCATTACACTCGTCGTACCACATTTATGGCGAAATTTCAAGATGTCATCGTAGTTGTCAATATCACGAGATCCGCCGTTTGCAATTACTGGAATCTTCAAACGTTCAGCAATTTTGCGTATCGCTTCTGATGAGAAGAATACAGAAATGAGTAAATACAATTAGCGTACACGGTTTTGAATTTCGATCGATTAGCCGAGATTTTCATACATCTTGGATGTGTAGATAGACACTTGCCTGTGTTATTTGGATGATGTGGTCGTTCGTCTTTTTTCCGGCCATGAACTCCAATGGCGCTGATACCAGTTGCCTCAAATTCCTCCGCCAATTTGATGGTGTCATCTGGATTGTTCAAAATTCTTGAAGAATTTCAATTAAAATCAAATGCTTGTCATTTCACAGCACGAATGCTTCAATTCATCTTGAGAAGAATATTTACCGAATTTTGCATGTAACAGGAATTTTGACATTTTGCACCAAAGTATTCAGAATGTTTTTCGCTCGTTCTGGATCGGTTAATAGAGCGGCACCCATTCCACCTTTGAGACTGAATGCTTTTGGACATCCCATGTTGATATCGATAGCCGCCACATCATTCTCCACCATTTTGGCCACTTTTAATGCACGTTCGGCGTTCGCTGTGCCCAACTGCAGTACAACCTTTCCTTTTTCCAATGGACATGTTCTGAAGGTAAGTGCACCGTTGTTTTTGTCGACAAAATCGACGGTGCCTAGGACTTCTGTTTGAACCAAGTACAATAGATGGAAGAAAAATTTGGTAACAGCAAAAGAAAAAGTTTAATTTTTCAATTTGAATGCAAACCATTCTCATATCGATAGGATCCAAGGAATTTGAAGTCAATTATCTCCTCGGTGTAAACAAGATCAGCTCCATATCGCAATGACAATAATCGAGTCGCCAGTGTGCCAATCTTGACCATAGGTGCCAAGCAGATTTTGTTCCTATAGTCTATTTTGGCTTCATCTGTGTCCATTTTCACGGAATTTTCTTCTTTTTGGCCCATTTCAACAAATCTAACGTGCCTATTATGCACTTATTTAATTGTTTTTCTGACGAACTTTGAATGAACTGTTGAACTGTCAATAGGAAATCATTCACGTGTTACTACATTGTGGGGTGCGTTCTCATGGTTGTCAATATACCATCATCACATTCAAATTCTGAATTCTTTGCTTTTCTTGTTAGATTGTTATGTATTGTGTTCAAATGTTTTTTTCCAAATAAATAAAACATTTATGAAAATTTTGATCACTTAGATATTTTATCAAAATCTCAACTATTTTTCATGTCGATCATAGCTCAGCATGATTTTTAGGTCTTTTTCATGATATTGATTGAAAAAGGAAGAATATTTTAAATGCAATGATTTATTAACCGATATTTTATCTTTATTTTATAGTCTTTAATGCCCAAATTCATAGTTTATTATGCATCTCAAATGTACATACATAACTTCAATTTACTTACGACATCCTTGGATTGTTGACGACCAATTTTTTCATTTAAGCACATTTTTTTTGTAAATTATCGCTACAACGACTTTCCCTAATCGAATGAAGTGATAAGAGCTCAATGAATATTTTGTGTCTTTACTAATCTGTCTATTTTTGGTTTGAAATCATCTAAGTTCAATTGATATTCATATATAAATTCAGTACTCATCCATCAAGTCAAGGCTTTGTTTCAAATTTGATTGAATCATCGAGTAGAAAGCAATTCATATTTTGAATTATGAGATTCGTCATTCTGTTGGTTTTATGCTTTAGTGCATGTAAAGGTAAGGATATATCTAGTTAAATACTTTCGGAGCTTGCTTTCATTCGTTAAATGTTAAATATCAATAGCATTGATTCAATACTCAATGTATTAAAATTAAATACAATAGTTAATTTCTTTTGCAATGAAAATAATTATAAAATGATCGTACAATTTATTTAATTATACAAATGTAAAGTATGTGAGGAGTAAATTTTTTTCTTTTTACAGGTGTTCATGTCGACGAGTGAGTTAATAGCTACGAATCTTTTACAAATACTTCGTTTTTACTTCACGCGTTTTTTTTTTCAATATATTTTTTCAGTAAAAAAAATCAAATTTTAATCAGTTTCCTCAAAATATTTTTAGATTCAGCTTTTCAAATGTACTCGATATCGTTTACTTGATAAGAGAAGGTAATCTTAAAACTGTTTTGAAGCATTATGTCACAAAAACTGATGACTTCTTGCTGGGAAAATAAAAATGTTTAAATTATTGAATATTAGGTTTGATGAAGACAGCTGACCACTTAATTGCCCTGGAATGTGTCAATGCTCGAAATGAAGAAAATGGTCAAGTTTTCCTTCATGTGTGTGCAGAAAAGGGTAAGTGTGAATCATGAAAATGGAACCAATCAAGTGTACTAAACGATTTGATCTAAATCCATCGAATCAATCTATTGATATTTAGGTTCGCTTCTTTGTGTCAAGGAGCTTCTTCGAAACGGTGCTGATCCAAATATCAAAGACAATTTCAACAAGAGGCCAGTTGATTATGCTAAAGCAAATGGTGACAAATGACACTTGATTCTTGGAAATTTTGAATCAAGTCCCTTTTTGAACAAACGTAAAAAAAATCACTTTTTTTTATTCTTCCTAGAATACGTGGTTATCACTTCCAAATTAACAGAAGCAATGTTGAAAAGTACTGCTGGTAATATATTGATAGAATTGCAAATTCCAATCAAGATTCAATTTGTTTTTATAAACGTTCTTTGTTTTGTTATAGGTGATGTTGCGGGACAGTAAGTAACAAATTCGTTCGTTAAAATAATTAGAATATATGGAACCGTTTGTATTATAATTTGATTGACCATTTTATATTTCATTGCGATTTTCTTTCTATGTCTTCGTAGAGCTTGTCGCATTGATGAAGCCGATTGGAAGAAAATGGGACGAAAAAGTGCGTTAGGAAGGAAATTTTGGCATTTAAAAATCTCAATTAAAAACCAAATGTTTACTATTTGCAGGCTTTGGTGACCTTATTGATGAAGTCGTTGGCATTGGAATAAATAAACGATTTGGCGCTCCATTCGGCGACGGAGGCACTCTTCTTCATGAATGGTCGAAAAATAGTAATTTGAGATTTTTGTTAAAAAAAAAAACCGAGAATTGATACCGAATATAATCGTTTTCAACAATTATTTAGATGTTACACTCGGCATTGAAATGTTGTTAGAGGCAGGAGCCGATCCGAAAATCAAGGACAGTAATAAGAAGACAGCACTTGACCATGCTGTTGGCAAAGGTGAAATGCCATGTGAAATAAACATCAATAAACAGATACTCTAATCCATATACGTATTCAATTTTAGGCTATTGGAAAATCGCAGAGCTGTTATCTAATGCATGATTTCCACGTCAATACAATCCCATGACGATATTCCGGACTTTTTCAATATTTAGATAATATTCGTGTAACATCATATTTAAATCAAAGCACATTTGCTTATAAAGGTCGATTCGGAACAAAAGATCATGTTTTATTTTGTTTTCAATTGAATCGATATTATTATCGTAAAAAATATGAACAAATTTATTTTACTCTTTCATTATATTTCTAACTAATACGAATCAGCTCTCAGCAGTTGTACTTGATCGTCCGGCAATTTGTCCAATAAACAACCAATTACAATCAGAAAATGTTCTTCAAATAAGCCTAAATGATGACAGACGACAAGAGCGGCCGCTTGTTCGGCAAACTTTTTCTCTCGATCCCAAATCAATGAAGCAAACTTTTGCCCATTAAAAGTGACAATCGAATAGAAGAGACGATCTTCACGTTTCGTTTCGTAGGTTGGTATCGGTAATTTGTTTCGTCCAGCATAGCCATAAATCAACACTTTTGGAAGGGTTTCCAATCCGAAATATTTTCTTTGGAATCGCATCAGAGTGAATGTAATGTTTTGATCTTCGTACATTCGTTTTCGAAAATCAAGAATTTCGGTTGGCATATCTTCCAATCGTGTTTTTGGAGAGCATGGCAAATGCACGAGTCCTTTGGCTTCGTATTCTCCGTGCACTTTTCGGCAATATTCTCTCAATCTCCAAGGTCGACTGCAATGAATGATTTCAATTGAAAGATATAACCAAGATGCGAGGTTCAGTGTCCACTTACCATATTTGCTCAAGTTTTTCTGCATCTTCGACCTCTCGTCCGAATTTCTTCTTCTGTAGTTTATCATCATTTAAGTTGTACATTTTGCCTAGCACGTATTTCGTGTTTGCTACCGAATTATCATAATCGACACAGTATTTCAAATAGTCATGAGCCACATCATCGATTGATAGCAATCCTATGTATAAGCAATCGAACAACATGTAGTAAATCTCTTCATTTAAAATTTGTTGCGTTCTTAAAATACTTTATATCCCAATGAGGAGATCTTGTTACCTTCTTTGCGAAAAATGCTAACATTTTTCTGAGCTCCTCTCGCAATCATCACACTCGATGCACCACAGTCAGATCGAAACTTTTCAATGTCTTCGTAGGATTCAATGTCATCTGATCCACCGTTTGCAATGACTGGAATTTTCAATTCTGCAGCAATTTGTCGAATAGCATCTGCACACAAAAACCAAATAAATATATTATGAGTTCCCATGTTAAAATGAATTGATATCAGTCAACCCAACCTTTATTCACTGGTTCACTCGATTTTTGCGATTTGGTCCTTCCATGAACTGCTATCGCACTAATACCGGTACTTTCAAACTCTTTTGCCAACTTGATCGATTCCTCAATATTGTTGAATACTCTGCAGAGAAACGTACATTTTCATCTCTTAGAATAAACAGCACTTGTTTCAAGTAGAAGATTAATGCAGAACAAATGACATCCTTGTAAAGAAAGTTGGCCATTTACCTAATTTTGCATGTGATGGGAAGCGGAATATTTTTCACTAATTGTGTGAGAATATTCTTAGCATTGTCTGGATTTAACAGTAGTTTAGCGCCCATTCCAAAGTCGGTACTGTATGGTTTTGGACAGCCCATATTTACATCGATGGCTGAGACGTCATTCTGTACCATTTTTGCCAGGGCAACCGCTCTCTCTGCATTTGCTGTTCCCATTTGGAAAATCAGTCGGTCTTTTTCTTCAGGACTCGTTCGAAACGTACAGTATCCATTCGCTTCATTTACAAAATCCACTGTGCCGAGAATTTCTTTGAGGAAAATTGTAAATCAAACTTTAATTTTCATAGCCATATCAACACTTGGGATTCAGGTACTTACCATTAACCTTCCTCTTGGACATCAGCAAGCTGAGATCGATTAATTCGTCGGTATAAACTAAATCCGCTCCATATTTCAATGCCAATAGTCTGGTTGGAAGCCTGCTTCCTCGCACCATCGGCGCTAAAATCAACTTATTGCAGTAGTTTATCATGTTCACTCTACGGCTCCATAAATTCAAAACCAATTCAACATTCAAGTTGTCCCATTTTATTTTACAAATTAAATGAAAAGTCTATTTAAAATCTTAAAACGAATTTCACAATCATATTGTTTGCTAGATTTGTATTTCTATCGCACGTTGTATTTGACACCTTTGAATCGAGGGTCTGTTCAGTAAATGCAGCGGAAAAAAGTTTTGGCTTATTTCAACGACAGCTGATTGTCAAAAATGAATGTCATCCCGAAACCAAATAATGTTTTTAATTTGATTCAGTAACAATCAGATTTTGATTTTTTTTCGTCCTTTTTTTGTTGGAATTTCGTTATGTACAAATTGACAATTACACGTGGATTAGTACTCGAGTAGTATGAATCAGCGCTTAGTAATTTATCTTCAAACTTTTCTGACAAACGTCTCACAAACCACTGAGTACCACCAAAACATGTTCTCCGAATAACGGTAGATGATTAAAGCTGTAGCTGGTGCTGTAAACTTTGTTCGCCCTTCAAAATTTCCAACATTCGTATTCGATGTTGAACAACTTCTGTTGTCATATCCTCCAGTTTGGATTTTGGAGAGCATGGCAAATGCACGAGTCCTTTGGCTTCGTATTCACGGTGCACTTTTCGGCAATATTCATCCAATCCCCAGCCTCGACTGCAAAGGTAAAAGTGTGTTTTATAGAAAAAAAGAAATTGGAAAAGGGAAAATTAATGTTCACTCACCATATTTGATCGAGTTTTTCTGCATCCAAGAATTCTCGACCAAACTCCTTCTTCGAAATTTTATCATTATTCAATTTATACATCGTTTCTAGCACAAATTTGGTGTTTATCGCCGGATTATCAAAGTCAACGCACATTTTCAAATAGTCACGAGCGACTTCGTCGATTGGTAGCAATCCTAAGAATAAGCAATCGAATAATATGTAGTGAATTATGAATGTATGAATCCAAATAAGTTGCATTCTTGAAAAAAATTTCTTCATCTAAAAATGGATCTTCATCTTGCCTTCTTTGCGAAAAATGCTAACATTTTTCTGAGCACCTCTCGCAATCATCACACTCGATGCACCACAATCAGATCGAAACTTTTCAATGTCTTCGTAGGATTCAATGTCATCTGATCCACCGTTTGTAATGACTGGAATTTTCAATTCTGCAGCAATTTGTCGAATAGCATCTGCACACATAAATCAAATAAACGTAATGTGAGTTTCCATGTTAAAATTAATTGGAATCAGTCAACCCAACCTTTATTCACGGGTTGCGTGGATTGTTGAACCGGTGTCCTTCCATGAACTGCTATCGCACTGATACCGGTACTTTCAAACTCTTTTGCTAACTTGATCGATTCCTCAACATTTTCGAATATCCTGCAATTGAATGTATATTTAACTTTCTTAGTACAAAGAGCAATTTTTTTCGAAAAATTTCAAATAAAGCTATTGGTTGCTTTGAAAAAAAGGTTATTCATTTACCTAATTTTGCATGTAATAGGTAACGGAATATGTTTGACTAATTGCGTTAGTATATCTTTGGCATTGTCTCGATTTCCTAGCAGTTTGGCGCCCATTCCGTATATGGTTGAATACTATGATATAAAAATCTTCTTTAAACTCTTTATAAGTGATTTTTTTTCCAAGATTCTTACTGGTTTTGGACAGCCCATATTAACATCGATCCCTGCGACGTCATTTTGTACCATTTTGGCCAAAGCAACCGCTCTGTCTGCATTTGATGTACCCATTTGGAAGATCAATCGGTCTTTTTCCTCGGGACTCGTTCGAAACGTACAATGTCCAATGATCTCGTCCACATAATCTATTGTGCCCAGGATTTCTAAACAAAAAATAGTGAATGTAACTGAATTCATTTTCATCATCACATTGACCCTCGGAATTAAGGCACTTACCATTAACCTTCCTCTTGGACATCAGCAAGCTAACATCAATCGTTTCGTCGGTATAAACCAAATCCGCTCCATATTTCAATGCCAATAGTCTGGTTGGAAGCCTGCTTCCTCGCACCATCGGCGCTAAAATCAACTTATTGCAGTAATTCATTATGTTTACTCTATGGTTGCACAAATCCAGACGAAAATCAACATTCAATTCGTCCCATTTTATTGAAAATTTTAAACTAAACTTCAACTCAAAATGTAAAAATCAATTCCACAATTGCATATTGTTTGTTAGATTTGTATGTCTATCGCACGTTGTATTTGACATTTTCGAAACAAGGGTCTGTTCACTGCACTGAAAGGTGTTCGCCTATTTCGATGACAGCTGCTTGTTAAATATGCATGTGTCATTCCGAATGATATCATTCTGTGTGATTTTCAGTGTCTTTGTTTTCATGTAAAGAAAAGTAGCAAAACAAAAAAGTTGTTCTACGTCGAAAATTCGTAATAATCAGATCAAAGCTCAAAATTTTTCTGTGTTATTTTCTCGTAAAATTTGGTTTTGAAGTAAAAAATGAATCGTTTATTCGGTCGTGGTAAACCAAAAGAGCCTGGTCCAAGCATTAGCGATTGTATCAGCAGTGTGGACAGCCGTGCCAATGTAATCGAAGAGAAAATCAACAAATTGGACGCGGAATTGCGTAAATACAAAGAGCAAATGTCGAAGATGCGTGAAGGGCCCGGAAAGAATGCCGTCAAACAAAGAGCGATGCGTGTGTTGAAACAGAAGAAACAATATGAGGGTCAAGTTGAAGGTCTTCGAAACCAAGCGTTCAACATGGAACAGGCAAATTACGCCACGCAAACATTGAAAGACACACAGTCAACAGTTGTGGCAATGCGTGACGGTGTCAATCAAATGAAGAAGGAATTCAAAAAGGTCAACATCGAAGATATCGAAGACTTGCAAGACGATATGTCCGACATGCTCGAGCAATCTGACGAGGTACAAGAGGCTTTGGGGCGCACTTACGGTGTTCCAGATATGGATGAAGATGAATTGGCTGCAGAATTAGACGCTTTGGGCGATGAAATCGCACTTGATGATGATGCAACTTACTTGGACGATGTTGTCAAAGCACCAGCTGCTCCAGATAAGGTACACATATCCTTCTTCTTTCATTTTTTATTGGGAATCTCCAATTTAATACCATTTCATTTCAGCTTTTTTCGATATTTTTTTCTCAACTTTGAGCTTAATCCCATTTTGATCTAATCAATTTAACAATTTCGTTTTTCTAGGAACCCGGTGCTGATAGTATTCGTAACAAGGATGGCATTTTAGTTGATGAATTTGGCCTTCCAAAGATTCCAACCACTGCTAAAACATCATAAAAGGATTTTATCTTACGAATACACGATTTCATTGTCTCTTTTACTAGCATAAAAATTACTTTCCGAAAAAAATCCTTTCCAAACGTTTTCAAATAAACGAAATCACTTCACATATGTGCACCAGAGGTGAAACGAAACAAAAGAATGAAAAGCAGTTTACATGAACAAAATTGAAAAGTAACACGAATAACAAAAGTATTAGCTTAAGTGTGCAAAAACTTGTATGTATATGATTTCTAACAAATAAAAGTAAAATCTCGTGAAAACAAAGCGAACGTGTTTGGAATGACAGTGTGGCAGACAAACATCTATTCATTTTCACATACGATGTGACCGCAGTGTGCACCGGTGTGCTGCCAACTTAGCCTACTTTACTTAAATGCCTTTATGGATTTTTATTGTTTACATAATTGCATCAAAACGACCGTGAATTTCTATCGCATGGGATAACTTGATAACTTTTCGAGTATTGAGTAGAGTAAAAACCAAATACTACATCGTCACTTGATAAATTGATGGGCATATACTAAGGAAGATAAAAAAAAACATAACAACAAACACAGAAATCTTTCAATGGGCATTTAATGACACGAATAAACTCAAGCAAATGGATAATAGCGTTCATGCATATAATAAATATCACGAAAAAAAAAAATCTGTTGTGCGCCATGCTTTTGAATCAGTAATATGGTGGGTGCTTGCACAAATTGATATCAATTGGAAGACACACCGACTGTGTGAATTGGTTTGGTTTTGCGTTTTTTTTTCTCAGTCAAACATTGAGTGTTGCGAAATCAGCACGCCGCCACACAGATTAATTGAGGTTCGTGCGTTACATAGGCGAATTTGAAGTCTAGGTCAAAATGAAAACTCTGCACGAAATGTAAGTTTGTTTGATACAAATCAATTAGTCAAAATGCCGACCGTCGTTTTAATTTTCACACCACTTTTTTTTTCGTTTCCATGAATTTCGGTTTTGGTCTTATAGATTCTGGCTACTGCTTGCCTACGTGCATTTCCATCGAATCCAGTGCATGAAATTAAAATGTGACGAGGTGAAGTTCAATTTTTGCAAAGTGAATATTGATGGTGGACGTGATTTGAATGTGGCCTTAGTTTCAGAGGAAAATAATTTTACCAATTCCTCGGAAGAAGCGTACGAGATTAATTTCACAATTGTTCCGGTTGATCAGTACGATGGCATTATTGAGCAGCTGAACATTGCCTATGAGTATGAAAATGAAACATGGTCCGATGATTTGCCAAAGGAATTTTATGAAAACCCCGAAAATGTGCAAAAAATTCAGCTCGAATTTCAAAGTCTAACCAAAATTAAGACTTCAGCTTTTAGTGGCGCACTGAATTTGGTCGAGATTGACTTGGATCACAATCAAATTCTGTACATTAGCGGCGATGTTTTCAGTGATCTAAAAAACTTGACCGTTTTATCTTTGACGAAAAATAATCTGACCATCATTCGATCGAACACATTCCATGGTGCGATCAATTTGCGACGTCTTCATTTGAATCAAAATAAAATCGAGCATATCGAAGACGGCGCGTTGAATTTACCGAATTTAGAGAATATTCTGTTGCAAAACAATCGCCTGAAGAGGCTGTCGGGATCGATGTTCATCGGTACACCACGATTGAAAGAAGCTGTTTTTGAAGAAAACGAACTAACACAAATAAGTGAAGCTTTTACTCATCTGCATGGATTAGAAGTGTTGATTTTGGACTACAATGAAATTGAAGATATTAATCTGTCGAAATTCGCACATCTCTCCAAACTCAATCATTTGTCGCTTCGCAAAAGTGGTTTCCATCTCAAAGACATCGGTCTACTTGATGATAATGTGAACAAAATCAATTCCACCTCTAAATTGGAAGTCTTGGATTTAGCTGAAAATGGTTTGACCGACGGTGAATCTCTCATCTCACAGCTGCGCTTGTTTCAACGAGTCGAAATTGTCAATTTGGAATATAATGAGCTCGGCTATTTGGGCCATGTTTACCAGCTCAAAAAATGGTATCCCTATTTGAAAATTGTGAACTTGGCCTATAATCCAGTGAGCTGTGAATGGGTGGAAAATTACGTGGCCTATTTGAATCGACGCGATTTAAAGGTTTATCCATGGCTCAATTCATCAAACGGATGCGTCCCAGACGAAGAAGAGCTTTAATGGCTGCACAAATAGTTATTTATCCATTAGAAAATAGTTTTGAAAAGAGGAGAAAACATTCAGAAAAAGGCAATAGTCCTTTCGATAAGACAAATTCAAAGCAAAGTATTTCTTTTTAGATAAAACACTTGCTGGTTAAACTTTTGCGTCAGAGCACAATAATCATAAGTTTTAGTTTTATGCGTAGTTCAATGGCGGAAACCCATTACGGTGTCGCCAATGAGATAATAATGTAAGAAATTGACCATTAAACTGAACATAAATCATTTGACATTAAAAATGACAAATCGAGATCTTGATTTATCGTTAAATAGTTCCGGTTTGATTGAAAAATGTCTGCACATTCATTTGCTTGAACAGTCTTAATTCGACCCAAGTCAAAGTTACCCGTCTTGCACTGATTGATTCAATACAACAGCGAAAAAATACAAACGATGACATCTACCATTGTGAATGGCACTCAATACTCACTAATGTCGTTTTGACAGTTGTGAATGGTTTAGCCGCAGAGTCCACAATGCTTTGATGTCAGCTTGAACATCGGAAAGCAATACATGATCGGAACAAATTTGATTTTTTCTAGAAAAATAAATAGAATTTCAACATGCTGCGATCCATGGTGACAACGTTGTTTCAATCCAGGCTAAGGTATGATAAAAGTCATATAGATTCAATGGTTTAATTCAGTGAGAATTCGGTTGGTCTTTTTCTAACCTCAAATTCGAGTAAAATAATGTTTTCTTCGTGAGATTTGCTTATTCTAACCGAGTTTTCGTTTGTTTTCAGCCCTATCACAGTAACGCAGGTGCGAGAATGCCGTAACAAAATTTTACCCAAGCCACGGAAACGGAATCCAGTTTGGTTCGTAAGACAGAAAAGAACGGTGAATATCATAGTGTTATTGTGTTGTCAGTCCATAGTGTGAAATCGAACTCACTTTCAACTTCAATTTCAGATCCATGAAGATTTTGTGACGGAAGAGAACAAAAAATTCGTGACCGAAGTGCTAAATGACCGTTTTGGTGTGCCAACATTGATAAAAGGAGCTCAAACTTATCCGAAGAATTTGGGAAACTTGATCGATGTGCAACAAGAAGAAAAACAAGAAGATTGGAATCGATTTCAAAGAAGGAGCGGTTTGATCGCTCGGAAAATTGGCGTGGTTCCAGTTTGGCGCAAAGATGGCACAAAAATGACCACCACAATGCTGCAAATCGAGGATAATCACGTCATTAAATACTTTTCACCAGAGGAATACACTCCGGCTCACCAGCCACGAGTGAAAAATTTACGAAAATTCGGCTGCGTATTGGTTGGTGCGGGCAGTGCCGATCCATCACTCTTCACAAAAGAATACTGTGGATTGTTTCGAGAGTCGGGAGTTTTGCCGAAAAGACATTTGGGCCGATTTTTAGTCACACCAAACGCTAAATTGCTACCAGGTTCGTGTGGATTTCATGAAGTGATTTTGGATTTCAATGAATATCTTTTCAATTTTTTTTTATTTTGCCGAGTATCTTATTGAATTTTGTCTTAATAGGCACACCATTGAACGTTACACACTTCCGTGTCGGAGACTTTGTCGATATTCGTGGTAAAACGTAAGTGAGATTAAACCGTAGAAAAATGTGTGGAAATATCGGCGAATTTTCTGAATTTAATGGGAAGTTTTCACCTTTTCATAGAGTTGATCGTGGTTTCCAAGGAGTCATGAAACGTTGGGGATTCAAAGGTATGCCGGCAACACACGGAGTGACAAAAACACATCGAAGACCAGGAAATATCGGTTCGGGAGGTGCAAAGGCACGTGTTTGGCCAGGCCAAAAGAGTAAGTTCGTTGAACTCAGGCTCCATCAAGAAGCCAAATTAAATGGTTTACTTTGAATATTTCAGTGCCTGGACATATGGGAAATCGCCATCGCAAGCTAAAAGGTTTACAAATCGTTCGCATCAACAAAGAGTACAATGTAATGTGGGTGACTGGACAGAATGTTCCCGGTGAACACAACAACTTCGTGTACATTTACGACACAATTTTGCCATTGAAACGTAATATCATTCAACCGCCGTTCCCCACTCGCTTCGATGACGACGGTGGTGAAGTGGACGTTTTTGCCGATGGCTTTCACGATTTTCGAAATCCAACAATTTTCTATGAAGATGACTAGTTATTTGTTCGTTGTAAATTTTAATATTAATAAAGTAAAATAGAAAAAAAAACCAATCAAAGTCAACTCGGCGTTTATTATTATTATAAAAATCGATACATCGAACTACACGTTTGGCACTAGGTTGTCTAATTGAATTTATTACTTCAAGTACTTCCACTGCAATGAGCTTGACCCATCGTCGGATGGATCCACTTTCTTGGATTCGATTTTTTTATCTTTTTCCAGTTTTCTCAAGTGTTGCGTCACATTGTGAGCGGCCGCTCTCCACAGTTGCTCTGGCGTTTCGATGTAAATAATTTTCACTAGATCCATGTTTGTATACCATTTGTCTGGATTAGACTCAAGCACGTCGAAAATTTGTGCTTCACGTTGATTACGGTGATCAATGTAATATTGAATTTTTGGTATTGGATTCTATAACACAATAGAACCAAAACAGAAAAAAAGGTGACAAAATGAAACAAATATCGATCTAAAGAGTACTGTGCAAGTGTTTAGAACTAACCGTGACTATATTACCATGGCCTGGGTAAATCGTTGATGGATTTTCGTTGATAATCAACTTCAGGCTTTTCATATAATCATACAGATCTTCAAATACTGCTGTGCCTTCGCCCAGTATGCAATCGCCACTAAACAATTCTTTCGTTTCGTCCACAAAGAGTATGCAATGATCGGTTGTGTGACCTGGTGTGTAAACTACTTTCAAAGTCATTCCATCTGTACTGAAGATTTGCTCATGTTTGAGTGTATTCAGCTGGATATCGCCCATAAAGTCTGGATATGAATCGTCTGCATCACTTCGTGGATATTTCCAAATGTTACAATCTGTACGACAACAAAAAAAACAACAGAAATGGTTTTTATTCGGTTTGTTTTTCAACTTTAGCATTTAAAGTTTAAGGCCGTCAAACCTTTGGCATCATCCAAACATTGCAACACTTCTTTTACACCACCGATATGATCATAGTGCCAATGAGTCAAAATTATATCACTAATTGTAGCCTTTTCATCACTCAACACACTTTTCAAGTGTTTTATATAATCCGGTTTATTGGACTCGCCCGTATCACACAGAATGCGACTGAAAATCGATAAAAACATCCAATTAGAATTCTTCTTCAAAAACCGGATAAATTGTATGAAAATGACTGAGCTCACCGTTTGCCATTGCCAATGAGATATGTATTTGTTCCTTGTAGAGTCATCGGACCGGGATTACACCCAAGGATTCGAATTAAATTCGTACTCAATTTTGTGATGACTGGTATTGGTGTTAATTTTGTTGCACTCATCTTTAAATACTGTAGACTTGAACAACCAGAAAAATCCAAAATTTCTTATGAAATTTTATCGATAGGAGTAAGTAAACAGATTATATTGCGTTGCTTTTGTATATTATGTTCATTTTATTAGTAAACGACGGAATGACAACTTTTGACAGTGAATACTGAACACAGTGACAGATGAAATAGGTGAAGTGTATATCACTATATCATGCGCCAATACATCTGTGTGTATTTTATACAAACACTTGAAAACGTCAAGCGCGAAAATGTAAACAAAAAAGAGACGTTGCGCAAATAGGAAAAAAATTCAAAAGCAGATAAGTCGCATTTTCAATTGCTATGCTAAATTACAATCCTTACCTTATACTTGTAACATAAAATCACATTGAAATCACCAGAAGAAATCGTATTTCTGCACCCATGAAAAAATCTTCAAAACACTTTTTTTGACAAAATTTGACTACTTCGTTCAATTCGCATGAGTCTATTCTCATCTATATACCATCAAAAGTTTTTATTCATAAAAAGAAAACTTTCATAGAACAACTTTTTGTGATAGCATTTAATTCTATCAAAAATATGGCGGTATCCCACTCATGGGTACGTTCCACACATGGGTACATTCCTCTATACTTTAAAATTATATTTATATTTAGAATTGCATATCTGTTTTGACATCAGTTTCAGTTTATAATTCATTAAAATCAGGGCCGTAGCGTCCATAGGGGCGCAAGGGGCTGAGCCCCCTCTGGAATTTTCTGAGCCCCCTGGAGTTTGGCGATTCTTATTGAAAAATTAGAAACATTACGCCACATAATCAAATGCAAAAATGGATTGAAATTTACTCAACGAACGAATGATTCACTTCAATCTCAAACAAATATCAAATCACGTTCGTTTATATCGCAGTCAAATACTTTGTTGGTTTTTTTTAAAGATTTGTTTGAGCTAATCGCACCAGCTGATAAAATGCTACAAAGTCGCAGTGTTGGCTACAAAATCGGTAAACCAATTATTGACACAGTCATTAATGACATTGAACAAATGAAAGACGAAAATAACTTCAACAATTACATTCAGTCAGCTACGATTCTTCTAAGTGAAAGTGAGCCAGATGAGCCTGTGTTGCTTTCTGCAAGTGTTACTCGCAGTCACGTACAATCAAATTCACAAAATGAAGAAAAACAACGACACGCGTTTGATAAAATACTGGATTTGACTTTGTCTGAAATGTCGCGTCGTTTCAAGGAAAATTCGGATGTTCTGATCGCATTGGATTCTGTATTCGAATTTGACCTTATGCCAATCGCAGATGTTGGGACCAAAGTTCCAGAAGAAAGTGAACTGAAATTTGTGAAGTAATTTTATCAAACCAACAAAGCAAAATGTGAAGAAGAAGGTGCAAATTTCAATTTCCTTCAAACTATTTCACCGTTAGGAAGCACATTTACAGACACTTGCCAATTGATTGAAGCCGTAGAAACATTTGGCTGTTCTACAGTCATTTGTAAATCATCATTCTCAACGCTCAACCGAATCATTCCGGGACGAATCAGCATGGCATGTGATCGAATGAAAAACCTGACTTTTTTGGCATTTGAAAAGGAACGCTTGAAAAATATTGATAACATGTAAATTTTGAAGGAATTCGATGCAAAAAAAAATCGACGCGTCCGTTTATTTTAATGTGCAATAATATGTGATTCAATTTTCCGAATATATAATATATAAATAAATGTTTCCTTGTTACTTAAATAAAAAACCAAAAATAATATTTGAATTGAGTTTTTGAATCTTCGGGGCTGAGCCCCCCCCTGTCTTTTCATTCACGCTACGGCCTTGGATCCACATTTTGCTTACTTTTTCCAAATCATTTAACTCTATTAATGGACGTAATTCAATATTTTCTGGTGGTCTAAATTGTAAATTTTCCCATTAATTATCATTCAAATGGGAACCAAGCACGATTTGGAATTAAATTCGAGATCATCTTACTCTACATTAAATTTCAAGGCCTCTTCTTTGGGCAAGTGATAGAGAATGGTTTCATTGTCAGAAACAATTTCAACATTTGCATTCTGCAGCGATGATTTCAAAACTGGTCGAATCTCCGTTCGAATTGCCAAGAAAATGTAACCCTTGGAGTAATCGATAAGTTGCAGTAATCGAGAAAGATTTTCATGGGATGCATTGAGAGTTTCGGCGTATGCTCGATTTCGATCCTAAAATTAGGTTCAATTAATGGAATGGCCAGAAGACAGTTCAGAAATGAAATAAGTGAGAGTAATTATTCACAGTGATGACAAAAGTTCCATCCGAAAAATCGCCGTTCAAACAGTACGCTTTTACATGTTTCACACTTGGATCTTGTTTAAATAACCCGATATAATTTCCAATGGTCATGTAACCAATACAACCCGTTGACCCATTTAATTTGAAAAGATTTTGAAGAATTGGCAAATCTTTTCGATTAATTTCCACCAAAGTGTCTGTCATTGTTGACGTTGGATGTCTTACGTCAAAACGTATGAATAATATATTAGAAATTCTATTCGTCTGAATCGTTCCAATCGATTTTCGTGCAGATCCAGTGAACATTACCAATTACTTTGAAACCAAGTTTTCCGAATAAGTTCCTCGATGGTGTGTTTACTTCCAAGACGCCGGCAGTTATATCATGACCTAATTCGGCGATTTGTTTCAAAATCGCTCTTACCACCAGGGATGCATAGCCGTATCCAAAATAGTCTTTGTCAGTTTGCAATGCCATCAGTAGACCAGATAAAAATCTAGAGTTAAAGTTGGCTGTTAATCTATCGAGTTTGCATATTCATACAAATGCAGTTACCTAAAAACCCACGATGCCAAAGTTTCGTTTTCCAAAAATGCACCTACACACGGATTATACTTCCCAACTCGTTGAAACAGTCGTATCGAACTCAGACTATCAGCTTAATTTTGAAAATAACAAAATCGTTTACCAATCTGATAATGCTGTTATAAAAGATTTATCATTATATTAACCCCCGAACCATGCCGCAAATGCTTTTTGAAAATCAGACAGTTTCGTCACTGGTTTAAGCTCGATTCCTTCTGGAGGCCTAGTGTAAATATCATGATTTAAGTTCATCAAAATACGATTGTTTAATGTTTTCTAGTATATATGCAAGAACTCACTGAACAACAAACTCCAGTGCTTTTTCCTTCGGCAAATAATACAATAAACTTGTATGATCAGTGTTGATTTCCAAATTTTTCTGTTTGATGGCTTCTCTAACCGATGCGGTACGATCATTCAGACTTGTAAAATAATATCCTTTCGAATAATCAATCAACAGCAACAAACGTAAAAGCTCTTCTGTACACTCACTGAGCGTGTCAGCATATGCGGTACGACGATCCTGGAATAATTGCTTTTACATGAAAATAATCTTCAACAGAAAGATATCAATGAAATTTTACCGTTACGACAAATGTACCGCGCGACAAATCGCCGTTTAGGCAGAAAAACTGTATGTGTTTTATATTTGGGTCTGTCTGAAACCATCGAATGTAGGTATCGATCGTTGTATAAGTTACGTAACATTTCGATCCATCTGGAGTGTACAGACTTTTAAGCAGAGGCAAATCATCTCTATCGATTTCTGTTAATTGATCCATTGTATTTTTAAATGCGGAGATTTGATATGCAAACTACTCAATTGAAAGAAAGTATTCGATTAACTCGAACCTAGGATGACAGATCCATTTTTATACTTAAATGCAATATCAAATGTAATTATCAAACGAATGCAATCGTAGACAGACAAAAGTCGATAGTGAAGTTTAAAATCTTTTCATTGTTTTTGCTAAATCATTACAACACTGCTATTCCATTTGAAGCGTGAGAAGATAAGATAGGAATAATGAACCAATGATATGACTAAATATAGAGCTCAAACATTCAAACAAATATAAACCTTTATGTGATTGAACAGTTATAAACGAACGGGGAAATGTATCAGAGTCTTTGTTATTTGTATCTGCACCGTGGATGGTCACTCGATTGTGACTGCTGTCACGTAGTACTTTAGTCGAGGTGATATGCACTGAGTACACAAATTTTTGATTACAACATAATTGTTGTTTTATTAGCTAATTTTAATGTGTGTTTTTATGTAGATATCTCAAAAGAAAAAGCCCGCTTTTACATCATTTTTATTAAACACCATTAAAAAATGCTGAAAGTTTCAAAGAAAAGTATCTTCGACTTTAGTTTTTAAAATCTTCATCGAGTACTAATGTAGAAGTTGTACGGCTGGCTTTTCTATACGTCAATCTTTCTGTGTGGTTAGAACTGTTTGCGGTTTGAGTTCTTCATTAGCTTTAATCATCTTCCTTCTGTTATGACCCATTGCACATTTTCGATCAATTTAAACCCAAGTTTTCGAAACAATGATTTGGACGCTGTATTATTTTCGGAAATTTCCACATGTACATCAAACGGGGGTGAAAGCAACCAGGAGTAGGCTTGCTTACTCGAGCAGACAGTTGCCTTGCTTGCTGCTCACTTGAAGTCGACTCGGAACTAAGTAAGCGAGGCGAGCAAACGAGTCTTCTAATCGAAACATGCTTGCTTGCTCGCCTGTTTCACTTAGCTCCGAGTCGACTCCAAGTGAAACTGGCTGCTCGAGTAAGCAAGCCTGCAATGTATACAAACGACAAATGCTGCAATGTCGATATTGTAAACAAATACGACCAAGATGAGAAAAAAATGGAATTTTGTGTGAATATATGTAAATGACTTTTTTATTTTTGTACTAGAAATCTGATCACAATGTGATCATCACATATTAAACAGGTCATAGTTGTCATGTATGAAAAGAACTTTATCTACCCTAAATGGATCGATTGTTGCCTGCTGGCTTCGACTAACCGATCCAGCAAATGAAAAGGCACATTCAGCCGTTGCTGTAGTTGCTTGCACACAAAATAATGCTCCTGCAATGGCAGATAAATTGGGGTAAATGTCCGAAAACTTGGACCAGAATACCAGAACATCATCAAAAACTTCATGGACATCTTGGAAACGGAAGAGTTCACCTTCGATTGTGTTGTCCCGTGCTTGTCTTGCTATTGGCATGTGTCTCGCTAACAGTTTTTCACGCAAGCCCATGGGACGGCGTGGTTGAATGTTGCCGAATTCGGGCGGTTCAGCTGCTGAGCTAGGTTGTTGAGTTGGCAATTTAACTCTGAATTGCGTCACAATCCGTTCGAGAAGCTCCTCTCTGGATAAATCTGTAACAAAATGAAAAAAATATATGGTTTAGTTAAAATATCTGTATTGAAATTAAACTAAAGAAAATTGCCATTCAAAATCAAACACAATTTTGTTATAAACCCCATTTGAAACATAAAAGGTGTTTCAAGCGTAGCGTAGAAACAAATTTCTATTCAAAATCAACGAAAAACATACCCTTAGATGTCAGCCAACTGGTAATAATTGAAAGATGTTGGGTCGATGGATCCAATACAGCTGCAGCGACACTTGCATCGGTCAATTGGAATCTTGTGTCCAAATTATCGAGCAAAATATCTATCAATCGGCCGATATTACTATTTGTGAGCATAGTGATGTTATATGTATTGTATCGGCTCTGCTGTGCAATATTACAACCAATACTACTTTGTGACATAGTTTACTGTCAAATTACCAATACAAGTCGTGTATGTTGTAAAAGTACTTCTGAGTGAGTGCTATGATTTCGAAAGTGAATGTCATGTTAGTTTTCCCAAATAAAAATTAAAATATTAAAATATTGACTGTTTTTGAATGTTTGCTACGAATAGGTCATTTTCAGAGCGTAAAGTTTGACAGAAACCATTGCCGACGTTAAAAGGGTGCGTTCAGTGTCGGTAACAGTGTCGGTGTTATTGAATAATGAAATGTACTAAACACGTGATTGTGTATTACAATTATGAGTAGTATTTAAAAAAAATTCACTTTGTATTGGTACAGCTGTCACTTTATTAACATATTAATAATTATTAGTATGGTGAATTTTCGGTTATTAATATGGTGTAGATTTTATTAAAATGTTAATAAAATGTGGTTATTAATATGTTGTCGATTTTATTTGAATTCTAATAAAATCGACAACATATTGGATTTTATCCGATTTTATCAACGGACGACATCACGTTCACATCAAAGTCTATTCAACACAGCGTTTAGATTAAGACAATCATTTATCACGACGAAATCTCGATGAAAAATGAGTCTGGAAATATTTGACATGTTTTTTGTATGAAACTTTTCTTCGCAATTTTTTTGAAAAGTTAAAATGGGATAAAATCCAATATGTTGTCGATTTTATTAAAATTCTAATAAAATCGACAACATATTAATAACCACATTTTATTAACATTTTAATAAAATTTACACCGAAATTTCACCAATAACCGAAATTTTTAATAACCGAAAATTCACCATACTAATAATTTTTAATATGTTAATAAAATGCACCATATTTATTAACGTTAATAAATATGGTGTTTCAAAATTTTTATTAATTATTAAAATATGTTGTTTATTAACATATTAATAAAATACCGATTTTTGTCAGCTGTATGTATTGGAAATGTGGGAATTAATGTCAACAAAGAGACAAAAGTATGATTTGGCATTTATTATTTTGTATTAGTGTTTTTTAAAGATAATATTCGGCTTATTTAAAAACAAAGTTACAACACTTGAAATTGGTCGTGCCGTGTTTTGAACTTGATGATGACATATTTTTTTCTCACTGTGTGTTTATGAATCGGGTTTATGAATGAAAAAGTATTTTATATGAAATTGTATAAACAATAAATAAAATCTTCATCAGAACCGTGCGAGAAGATATTTGTATCACCAACAACAGATCACATAGAAAACATTCAATTTTGTACATCTGTCAAAAAGCACGATTCTTCACTATAACATACCTGATGTTCTTTCGAATTGAATATTATAAAATTCTGAAACAATCTTTTCGAATCATAAAAAGCTAGTTTGAAAAATCAAAAATGTCTTACGTTTTCCTTGAAGTTCCTAGAGAAAGAAATTTCGTGTTATTTTTCATTTCTACAGAAATATCGTATTTTATTGGATAAAAACGAAAATGATAAAAAAAAGAAAAAACTTACCGAAAATTCAACGATAAATTGCACCGAAAACAAACCGTGTAGTAGATTCATTTTAATATGCCAACCAAACGGACACATCAAAAAATAAAAGTCTACATCTGGGCGTTTTTTCAGCTAAAGACTCATTCAGCCGATATTTCTGCTAGTACCTTGAGCTACAGGCGAAATTCCGCTTATAATCTAGTCGGTATTTCGTCTGAAACTCCGTTTGCTAGGCAAAATATAGGACTGGGCGCCTCTACCAGTCGAAAATCCGCCTAAATGTGGACATTTATTTTTTACTGTGGAGTTTTAACCTATTGCACAATGATAGTAGAGAATTGTCTTGAACTTCTTCAGGAGATCCTTTGAATTCGTTTGGTCTTCCCCGTGTGGTGCTGCCTCTTTTATACCATTCATCTACTAATAGCTGACACATGCCATGCAATCAATAATTGATGAATTGTGGTATTTTTCAGTTATGGAATTTGATTACGGTGATTGTGTTGCTCGGTACCGGGCGATGGTTCACAGTTGTTATGCACACTGTGCACCAAAGGGTCTTGGTGTATGATCATAACTTTGACATTTTTTACCCTTTTCTTCGATTTTTGCCTGTGTGGCGGCCATCTACATGGGCAATTTGTATAAAAACCTCGTCGTAATATAAATCGCAATTATTCCAGATAATCATATAAATGCGCATGGGCGAATGGAAAATAAAATGCTTTTTTCTCAAATTTTCAAATTTATTCGGTTCTTTTGTTGAACATCA